AGAGCAGAAATCGTCCACTATCTCCAGAATCTCGAAATGTATCCCTACAATGGAGAGGTGTTCTACCCGATCACTCCCCCGACTGTGGATCCGCCTGTAGGAGGCCCCATCTAGATACTGCAGGGAGAATCAGATGTGAACTGATAGTGTGTTGAAGACTTATTTTAGGGGCAATCTATTCGGAATGTCAGCCAATTTTTGGAAGCACAACTGGGTGAGTGTATTATAAAAAAGAAGTATGAGTAGTATAATAGCAAAGTTTTATGTATGCATGTATATGTATGTATGCATACTATGTATATCGCTCAACATTTTCTCACAAGATATTCGATGATTTCAAAAAGAAGTAAATTAAGAAATTAATTAATTAATTAATTAATTAAAACTAACCTGTACATCCCCAGTTAGAGTATCCACATAGGAGACCCTGATAATGTAGGGCGGAATGTGGAACAAACCACAGAGAAGGGTGCGGAAATCGTTAAAGGAAGCATTACTTTTAACTACCAGAGGGTGTGTCTTAGTGGTGGCATTTCCTAGTTGTAGACTGATATGGACCACGCTACATGGCATGGTGTCACAACATTCTAATTGGGAGACAAAGAGGTTGAGTAGGAAGTTGTGATGTATTGCAGTTACGTTTTGTTAAGTTTAGGATTCCCTGAAATTTGTATTTGACCGAAGTTTGGTTGGTTATTGCATGAAATATTGAGAAAAATATCGGAACTTAGAAGCAGGTTCAGTGGTTCATTTTGAAATAACAGAAATCAAATATGAATTCGTTAATAATAAATAATACAGGTGTTGTGGTTGTCAAAATGATACAATTGATTGATGGGAAATCAGATGCTGTTCATAATCATGTTATCTTGTGTCATAAATTCTCTTTAAATTTAAAATTCTAAAATAAATAAATTATGTTATCTGACACACATATACAACAAGCTTAATTAAAATAATTGATATGTCAATCCCACATTAAACTGAATTTAGTTTTAAATGTTCGGTTAGGATGAGGAAAATCTTTAAAATTTAGTTTAACTGTCAACTGAGTTAAAAAATAAATGTCATGCAGAATAAATTAAAAGACGACGGTAAAATTTGGTTCAGTCATTTCATAAATTAATAGTAATTCACACGCTTTCATCAGACTTTTCTGGTTGATATGTACAAAACTCAGATCACGGTCATTGAATATTTAAAGTCGATTTCAGTCCCCAAATGGATCATACAGATATGGGGGAGAAGTTTCAAGCATTAACATCTCCAACTAACAACTAACATTCCTTCAATCTCTTGCTGACAGGAGCCTCAAAATCATCACTACTCTCGGAACAGGAAGTATCGCCCTCTGATTCGTTCACATCATCTAACACCTTCTTATTTCGGGGCACAGTGTAAGTGACCTCAGTAAAGTACGCTGCACTCTTCCTCTTCTCCCCATGTTTCTTCTTCTCTTCCTCAGTAGCAACCCGCCGTCTCGTGGTCCATCCCTCAAAGCCGTGCACGTGACCACGGAATGATTTCCAGCAGGCCTGGGTGAGGTGACAGGAGGGTTTGAGTAGCTGGACACTCTCACGTGACCCAGCGCTCAGATCAGCACGTGACTCCATCTCCACACGAGCTGTATCAAACGCGGCAACTCCAGATTTCTCAGCCCATCCTGAGCGACAGAAGAAACCGTCCTCGTCCATTTTCTGGAAAAGTTTGCAAGTTCGTTAAATGCAATCAATAGTTTTTATAAGGTCATGATGAGCTTTATTCAACACATAACTTACATTTTCAATGATACTGGAAATTGTATTATATACGCTAATCTAACTGCGTATAATGCGATTACACTATTAATTGCACGAGGCGCAGCCGAGTGGAAATTGATACAATAATCGCACGAGGCGAAGCCGAGTTCGATTATTGCAGTTATTTCACGAGGCGCAGCCGAGTGCAATAACTGGTGTAATCGTATTATACATGCAGTTAGATTCGCGTATAACTCCACGCCTCTGATGTTATAACCAGTGTAATTAGTTTATAATCGCACCGACTTTGTTGTTATACAGGGTGGGCCTCAAAAGTCTACCCATCCTTATCTCTTAAAATTGTAACAGCTCGCTGAGATCTCACTAATTATTTTATCTCAGAATGGAAAAGCGCCATAACTTACGTTCTGATTAATATTTTTGATTCAAATTTTTAGAGTATGTTAATCATAATTAGACACAACTTCGTGCTAAGTTTTGTGTGAGTCTGAGCTTGTCTGACAAAGTTAGCTCCTGAGTGTGCTAGCTTTAATTTCTCACCCAGAACTGTTTACATTGGTTAATAGAAACCACCAAAAAAAATCCTGGGTAAAAAAATTAAAAAACCACCGATTTATTTATGTTTTACCAATTCTATTCACCATGATACATCGCACATTCCATGTAAGAAGAACGATATAAACAAGCAGGAAGGATCATCTGTGATAGTCCTTATCAGTTAAAATATAGAGAGAATGGAATGTGCGATGGATCCATGTGAATAGAATTGGTAAAACGTGAATAAATCGCTGGTTTTTTAATTTTGTTACCCAAGATTTTTTTTGGTGGTTTCTATTAACCAATGTAAACAGTTCTGGGTGAGAAATTCAAGCTAGCTCGCTCAGGGGCTAAATTAGTCGAATAAGCTCAGTGAAGCTCGCAATCACACAAAACTTGCCACAAAGGTTTAGATACTTGTTATTAACATTCTGTGAAATTTAGAAGCAAAAATATTTAACAGAACATAAGTTATGCCACTTTTTGTTTTACAAATAATTAGTGAGATCTCAGCCTCATACTGTGTTGTGTTAATGCAATGATTGACTTATTCCAAACACAAGGAAAGATGTTGTCCTAAACTTTAAATTTAAATTTATGCCCATAAATTTTTTTCGTGCGACCATTGCACTAACGGTCGCCAAACTACCTCAGGTAGTTGATTTAAGTCAATACTTGAATCAGCACCTCACAGTAGTAAAATACTTGGTTTTAATTGGGTCCTCATTTTACGAGGTGCTCTCTCTAACTCTAATTATCTGCCTGAGCCATGATTTACAGCATCTTTCAGGGAATCAGTGCAATTAGTTTAGTAATCGTACCTTATAAGATTTCGGTCACTCTCAAAACAGTGCAATTAGTTTTGTAATCGCACCCCCTGGAACAAAAACCGGTGCAATTATGGAATTAATAAATGGCCGCCAAATAGGTCAAAAGTGGAGTTATATAATAAACTTGTCGAACTAGGTTCTGGGTTAAATTTCAATACTGAAGTCCCAATTAAATTTGATATTTATCAAACACTTAAATGCGCCTCATATCAATCAAACAAATTGTATTGTCAAAGATAATTAGAAATATGTGAATGAATTTTAATAAGAGTTAACGTTAATCCCACATCCAGAAAGTTAAAAATTTCCTCGCAGATACAAATTTTCTGTTTTCTGTGGCCCGCTTTTCTGGTACAAGTACATCGTAGGGAAAATTGATCGTGCGTGGTAAGTGGTTTAACCGCAGCGAAATTCTTGTTCAAATTGAGATCGTAAACTTTTAAAATTTCCTCTTTGGCACCAAAAATTTCCTCCGAAATCGAAAATTTCCTCGCAGATTATCTGCTAGTCTGCTAAGGTTTCTGGCTGTGGGACGTTAATAGTAATAGTATACTAACTGCATGATACGCTTATGTTAGAGTAGCTTAAGTAATGATATTAACAAAATAAGTTTAAATTAATGGTGAAATACAAATTGAGATTTCCTTTTACATCTCAAATTCAAGCTGTGTGACAATGAATGATATTATGATACGAATAATTTTAATTTATAAGCATTTTAGATAAGATATCTTAATATTAATAATAAAATAGTGATTATCGATCTAAAAAACTTAAAACTCGCGTCGTATAAGGTATCAGGTAATAATTTATTATCATGATTTGATTAAAAACAAGAAGTACAACTTTCGGTAGTAAATTATAAAATGTTAGTCCTGAAAAAAAAACAGACTCAGTTCACAAACCATTTAACCGATTGGAAATGAAGATCAAGTTCCAATGAGCATTATACAGATTTAAAATATAATATAACTATATTATATAAAAATAAATGCTATAAACAATTTAAAAACAATCTCAGGCATCAGTGGAAATTAATAAAAATGGTTAAAAACAACGAAAACCTTGCCAGACAATTTAACATCTCAAACATTTCAGCAGAAGTCTTTAACAGCAGGTTTCAATTGTTAAAAGTACTTTAACCGCTTGTTAGGAGACGAACTTAAAGGATACATAGGATACAGAGAAGGACCTGAAGGATACAGAGAAGGACCTGAAGGATTCAGAGAAGTACCTGCTTCGCTCTCATCTTCTAATTGTCTCTTGTTCAGATCACACTTTATATTCTCCCCTGGATACTGTATGTAGTTCTCAAGGGTGTTCTCTTTTGGCTTTCGTTTATTTTGGCTGGGCAGGTAGATCACATCAACAAAATAAACTCTTCCCTTCCTAGTTTCTCCGTGTTTCTTCTTTTCTTCTTCGGTGGCTACCCTTCGCTTGGTGCTCCATCCCTCGACACTACATACATGTCCACGAAATGATTTCCAACACGCTTCAGTCAGATGACAGGATGGTTTCAGAAGCTGGACTGTCTCACGTGATCCAACAGAAAGGTCGTCACGTGCTTCCATCTTCAGCCGGGCAGTTTCAAACATCTTCACCGCAGTTTCCTCACGTCGCATGGCAGCAGCAGATTTTTCAGCCCATCCCCTGCGGGACGAACGGAGATCCTTCTCAAACGAACCATTGAAGGCACCATAATCAAATCCTTGAAACATCACCTGAGGATACGAAAAAAAATCATTAATAATGACAGTTTTAATTTTAACATTATATCAAGCAAAATACAAATTATTGCATAGCAAAGTGAAATTATTTCATAAATTTGATTCTATTTCTAAGTGAAATGATACCAGTCGGACTTTTTCATAAAATATTGATAATAATAAAATGACAAGACTGAAGACACGAAATCTCTTATGACTGAATATAAAACCAAAATGTCATAACTGACGATCTACAAAATCATTAATAATAAAAAGTTTGAGAACACCAAGATATTATCTAATATGGTGATTTCTGATTAATGATTGATAACTTGATAAACAACAAAAAGCTTTACAATTCGTTGACAGTTTCAATAATTTAAGTCGACAAATAGCAAATAGTAAAATTTTGATAAAAAGAAACTTCATTAAAAAGTAAAATTCTGATGTAATGCTAGCATAGGAATACCCGAAATAATTAAATCTATAAAGTTAAAAACCAGACAGATCAAAATATTACTATAAATTTCATTTCATGCATGAAAAATACAAATTTGATATAATGTTTATAATAAGTTAAACAATACCAACTTATTGTGATATCAGTTGAATATGTGGTTAAATACAGGAAAATAACATTCGCAGGAAACTTAATATTTTAAACATGAAATCACAAATCACATCGCCTGATCATAAATAACCAGGTAAACACCAAGCCATCGTGATAAGATTGTTAGCTCTAATAATTGACAGCTCACATCCCTTCAATCTCCTGATATATCGGGGAGGAACTACAAAGAGGAACTAGAAAAGGAAACCGACTAGACTGAGGAAACAAAGGAGCTGGAGAAATGGATACAGTAGAAGACACAGGAGAATCAGGAGACAGTGTGCAAGATAATCTCTTGAAAAATTTAGAACTCTTTACAGAGGGAGACACAGAAGGAGGAGACTGATCGGATGACACAGGAGACAGAATAGAAGACACCGGAGACAGAATAGAAGACGCAGATGACAGAGTAGAAGAGACAGATGGCAGAGAAGAAGACGCAGGAGACAGAATAGAAGACGCAGGAGACAGAATAGAAGACGCAGATGACAGAGTAGAAGAGACAGATGGCAGAGAAGAAGACGCAGGAGACAGGATAGAAGACGCAGGAGACAGAAAAGAAGACGCAGGAGACAGAATAGAAGACGCAGATGGCAGAGTAGAAGACAATCTTTTGAAAAATTTAGAACTCTGTACAGATGGAGACACTGGAGGGGGAGACAGAGAAGGACCTGCTTTGTTCTTATCTTGGAACTGTTTCTGGTTGTCAGGATTTATATTCTCTTTGTTACGCTCTTTATAGCTGCTTTCTCTTTCTTTACTATGGTGAGGCACAGAGTAAATCACATCAACAAAATAAACTCTTCCCTTCCTAGTTTCTCCGTGTTTCTTCTTTTCTGCTTCGGTGGCAACTCTTCGCTTGGTGCTCCATCCCTCGACACTACATACATGTCCACGAAATGATTTCCAACACGCTTCAGTCAGATGACAGGATGGTTTCAGAAGCTGGACTGTCTCACGTGATCCAACAGAAAGGTCGTCACGTGCTTCCATCTTCAGCCGAGCAGTTTCAAACATCTTCACCGCAGTTTCCTCACGTCGCATGGCAGCAGCAGATTTTTCAGCCCATCCTCGGCGAGAGATCCGGCGTGACTTCGTCTTTATACTACAGTCTTTAGGAATCAAAGTCATAACTAAAGCCAAACATCACCTGGAAATGATGGAAAATCATTCATGAATATTGTCGAACAAATCGAACAAACCGCATAATTCAAAAAAACATAACAAAAGATTGTTTTTACTTTCTTTTGATAGTATTTGGAAAAGTATTTTAAGCTTTTATTTGTCAAGGTGAGATACTTCTTGCATGCAATCAAGTCAGATATTCGAAATAACGATTAAAGTTAATACTTCATTCTACACTGCAATACAAATAAATCGAACACGAATTGATGAACAATTAAACACGTTTATAAAAATGTAAGTTTTCATGATAATTGTGTTGTAGTAATAAATATACAATAATAATATTGAAATGAATTATTAAACTGTAACGTATTACTCGAATGTATATAATTAGGTAAAATTATGAAAAGTAGCCACTGCCACTTAAATTAACAACAAGTAATGTTAATTAAAAATGTATAAATGGTAAAATAGGAAAAACGTAAATTATCGCCTAACCCAATATTACACCGATCTTGATGTTATAGTGTACGTGAAGTTATATAAACAATTTCAAAATAATATAATTGTGATAATGTAAAAAGGTTAAAAACGTATTTTATAAACAATTAAAAGTAATATGTAAATCATAGCTGGTGAAGATTAAAACATTACACTAAAACAATGACAATTAGTTTAATTGGCTAAAAACGAATTGAATATTAGAAATGTTTTGTTGTTTTAGTTACTTTAGCCAGTCAGATATATCTTCGATGAAACCTATAAAATTCTTCGAATAAAATCTTAAAGTTAAAGCCTAACAAATGAATTTGAAACTTTCTTCGAAACTGATCGGCTGTGGCACAAAATTGGTTGCTACAAACAATTTAAAAGTTAAAAAACGCCGAAGCTCAAATAGATAATTATGAAATAAATACAAATATTCGATTGCTAGAAATACAAACTGCCTCGAAACAAGTTCCAAAGAAAGTGCCCAACCAGCTTTAGGACAGATAACATTGCCCTCTTAAAGTCTTAACGATAAAACATTGCAAAACAATAAAACAGCTGTTATATGAAGCTGTTATCAAGACTAACAGTTCTTCGATTTCTTGTAAGTAGAAGCTGTAGAAGGACATTGTTCATCTTCAAACAACCTTTTGTTATTCTCCTTGTCATTTTCTTTGTTAGTAGTACTCTCCTTTCTTTTTTCCTTACTTTCCTTTCCTTTACTCCTGCGAGGCACAGAATAAGTCACGTCAGTAAAATAAACTTTTGCCTTCCTTTTCTCCCCATGTTTCTTCTTCTCTTCAGCAGTTGCAAGTCGCCGTTTTGTGCGCCATCCGTCGAAACTACACACATGCTTACGGAAGGATTTCCAACAAGCATCAATGAGATGACAGGATGGCTTAAGAAGTTCTATAGTCTCAGAAAATCCCGGGGAAAGATCTTTCTGCTCCTCCATCTGAACCCTGATAAGTTGGAATTCTTCCTTCGCGTTTTCCTCCCTTTCAATGGCGGCAGCAGATTTGTCCGCCCAATTCCGGCGATCTATAAAGTCGTCATCCCAATAATTCCCACGGTAATTTAACATCTGGAAACAATAGTTTGACATTATTCTTCTGAGGGTATTGACGGATTAGTAACTTTTTAAGCTATTTCTTTTATTTCTTTTAACAAAATATGTAACAGAAGCATATTTTATTTGAGTTCCTATGGATGTTGAGGACATAATATGTTTTGGGGATCTCAAGGAATCAGACTGTGTCGTATCAAAATTAGCCACAGCCAATAAAACGTATATTGTATAATATGAAATAATGTAAGTTAAACATAAAAATGTTAAAAAGCGAATGTTACAACAATGTAATAAACAATCAAAACAAACAGTTCAATCGGTTTAGGGCAGAAACCGAGAGTGCCCATTTTCCCACAGTTTCTCACAAATTGTCAATCTTGTCGTGTACTGTCATATTTTGTCAAATCATGTCATATATTGCCATATTATATTGTCGTATATTGTCAAATCTTGTCGTTTATTGTCCAATCTTGTCACATATTGTTATGTATTGTCATGTATTGTCGTATATTGTCATATATTGTAAAATCTTGTCGTATATTGTCATCGTTTGTCATATTTAGTTGTATATTGTCATCGTTTGTCATATTTAGTCGTATATTATCATGACAATGGGTACTCTCGGTCCCTGCCTGGTTTAAAACGAATTGAATATCGAAAAAGATTTTGTTGTTACGTTAGTCAGTCAGAAATTTAACGTTAACACGTATAAACAACAACAGAAATAAATTTGTTTAAAAACGCTAAATTGTAATCGTCTGTTTGTTTTGCCGGACCATTACATTGGCGAGAAAACATTACCGTAATACTAACAGCCTAACAGATCAGGAAAACGTGGTAATTAACGAACAAGGTGGAGGAATACAAATCTAAGAGCAGTGTTAAACCAATCAAATCAGTGTTACTTCCTATTTCACTGCTTACCAATATAATCAAGGACCGAATGTAAAGGCTGCTTGGCGTGTAAAATGATACTGGTATGGGAGAATTGGTAAAAGTTATATTTGAGCTTGTGGTGAAGCGAGGAGGACGTTTCTGTAGCAACAATGTGAATTGAGCGGTTGTTAGCCACAAACCAGGTTAATGTGATCAGTTTAAATATACATAAAACCCCGAGGAGGATACAATTTTCAAGAACATTAAAAATATAGCGAAGAGTCACGTCCGCTGTCAAGTCGCTCTTTGGCTCAGTTTTCCAGATCTTTTAAAAAGATGAAAAATGAAACAAAAAATATACAAATACCATGCAAATATCAAAATAATTGTTGATGAGAAAGGTCGATACATCACATAAAATAAACGAGGGTCATCTACCAAGTCGTACCTTAACTCAGTTTTCCAAATCGTTTAATATAAAAATAAAGTTGTCAAAAGTGCCCCAAAACTTCGAAAAATGTCATGCATTGCACAAATCATAGATTTCGAAGAGAGAGGTCGATACCTCTCATATTTGAAATTCAATAAAAAGAAATGGAATCGATCTCTAAAGATCCTGTGCCTTTCAGAGGCACATATTAGGTGCGATGGGTGCGGGATCGCACAATTTACCGTTTTCCGCACATTTCCGCATAATTTATTGTTTTCCGCACACTCCCACACATTTTGTAATTTTCTGCATATTTCCGCATAATCTAGCATTTTCCGCGTAATTTCGCATAATTTTGAAATTTTCGCGTTAAGAGTTTCGAGTGTAAAAACCAAAATATGTTAAAAGTCGGGCCCTTTTAGGACCGTGACTCAGGCCCTTTTAGGACCGTGACTGAGGCCCTTTCGGGACCGTGACCCAGGCCCTTTTGGAACTCATACCTAGGCCACGTGACCCAGTTACCACGTGACCCAGGCCCTTTCGGGACCGTGACCCAGGCCCTTCTGGAACTCATGCCTAGGCCACGTGACCCAGTTACCACGTGACCCAGGCCCTTTCGGGACCCTGACCCAGGCCCTTTCGGGACCGTGACCCAGGCCCTTTTGGAACTCATACCTAGGCCACGTGACCCAGTTACCACGTGACCCAGGCCCTTTCGGGACCCTGACCCAGGCCCTTTCGGGACCGTTACCCAGGCCCTTTCGGGACCGTGACCCAGGCCGTTATGGAACCCTCGTCGTTACCGAACTTCGATCATACCTGCAGCCCTTTTTATCGGGTAATGAGCTCGATTCGTTGTAGCGTTGGCTTTATAGTGGGCTTAATGGATCTTGGATCAAATGGTTTACAAGTACTGACGATCAATGCCAACAAGCGTGTCACATATTTGCGATCAGGCATCGGATCTGATCGACTCTATCAAGAGGCGTCTTCAAATAAATGTCTCCTGATCTCTACCAGATCAAGTCACTGTTCTCAGATAACTGAATCTCAATATAGGTTCAATCATGGTCTTAGTAAAGAACTACACCCTCAGTAACACATAAACAGATCTATTTTTGATAAGAGCGGCGGTTATACGTTTAGAATTTGCAAAGTCCTTCAGAAAATGCATAAGAAAACCGCACAATTCCCGCACAAATTTCGAAAAAATCGTCGCACATTTGCCGCATAATTGGTAAAAATTTACCGCACCTTACCGCACATTTTACCTTTATAGTCGGGTGCGGTACCGCATAATTTCGATTTTTTTACCGCACCTAATATGTGCCTCTGGTGCCTTTCTGCTTAAAATTGTCATAAACACCACCAAATGTTTGGAGTCCAAAAGCTCCAGTTTTCGCCAGATCCAACGGAGGAGCATCCTCAACTTCCCTACCTCTGAAAAAAGCTTTGAACTCAGAAAATGGCAGCTCCACAATATCCATGTCGCCCCCTGTCTCCTTCGGGTCCAGTTCAACAGTAAACTTTTGTTCGTAGCTATACTGTTTCATGGCTCCTATCTGGTCTGTATCTGTCAGTACTACCTTCCAGTACTTCAACTGACCCTGACCTCTTACCAGCAGTTTGAGTCCAGTATCCTGAGCGTGACTAGCAGCGGTATCAGGCATCTCGGTCTGTACTCCTGCAAAACCAGCTCCATTCGGCTGCGGGTTTATCATGGCAAACATGACCGCCCTTTGAAATAGCCGAGTTTTCTGTATCGAGAACACTGCTTTGGACATGCCTGGTTCCCGCACCGTATCACTGATCTCCCTCCACAAGTGGTTTTGTTGTTTGTCAGTAGTGAAGTCAAAGAGCGTCATTTCCTTGTTTGTTTTGTGGATCTCCATTGTTGAACAAGAGACACTCAGAACACTACCCAATACAAGAGGACCAAGAGCTCTTATGACTTTCGGTAACATTCCTAAAACATTAAAATAGATAAGTAGGTTTGTATTTTATGTTTGTGTGATCATGTTGTCAATTTGGGTATCGATTCAATACTGCGAAAAAGGTAAAAAGAAAAACATTAGACAAGGGAAACAACATCATACATCAGAACAGCTAAAACATTCAAAATTAATATGCATCAAGATAAATAATTCCTAATACATAATATTATTATATATAAAGACTCAGTCCATAAAAGCAACTACCAAATTATTCTTTGGGGAACAAGTTAACGGTTTGAGCTTGGAAATACCTACAAACTGGTAACCATATTCCCTAAGATGCTCAGTTCTATCAATATCAACACATTTCATGTAATTTTCATTATTACTTTCATGATCAGCTAACCTTGAAACCTTAAAAAACTCGTTGTGATCGTAGATAATATTTCGAAAACGCTCACTTTTTGGGTATAACAAACTTTCTGAGTTCACAATCTTTCCGTAGCAGCAAGGGGACGAGACGATGGCAGCACTGCTCCTAATACACTGTTGAAAAACTTTATCAGTCAAGGAACCACAGGCATGGAGACTGACACCTAACTCAAAACGACCCACAAATTGTTCCATGTGTGCTAGACAAAGGCTGATGTTTTTTAACCCTAGTTTGTCGATCCTCTCCTTGGCATAACGTAACGAACCCCACTTTGTTTCTACTAATATGATGTGGCAATCTGGAAAATGATGGGCTAGGAATATCCCTAAATGACCAGCTCCAGAACAAAAGTCGACAATTCGAATCTTCGGTAGATTTAAGGATCGGAGATGTTTTACACAGAGGTGCACTCCAGCCAGGATACTTTGCAGCTGAAACATTTTGTTAGTGTTGTTAACTTTATTTCTCTGAGGTTTGAGAAGGTCACTGAGTGAATCCCATTTCACAGGAAAATCATCAAGTTCCTGATACTGGTAATTATTGGCAATTTCATCCATTTTTAGCAGAAGAGTCTTATCAACTTCGCCCTGATTTTCAACTGGATCTGCCTTTTCTTCTGCAATGCCGATTTCCTTATTAGAAGTTTCCATTTCTAATTCCACTTTTAAGTCAACATTCTCACGTAAGAAATTCATATAAAAAGGTTCAAATGCCTGAGCAATATCGATCATTCTTTCAAACCATTTTTGAGTCAAATCATCACACTGAAGCTGAGAAATATCACACCCCAGGGAATGCAACTTAGCAGAGATCATCCCAAAAAGAAGAATATCAGTAGCTCCAAGATGAAGACCATGAACGTATCTCCTTATAACTGGGAGTGCCTTCCTTTCGTCGTGGGATAATACTCCCTGTTCAGGCAGCAATCCTAGTCTCGTGGCTTCTTGTCTTATCTTTCTCTGGTTGTGTCCGATGAAAGGTGCGTTGAGGGTTTCTTGTAGAAATCCTAACGTTGATTGAACTTCTTGTAAATCAGCAGCAGAGGCAAGAGAATCAGGGAAAGTTATCTCAATGATTCTAGTCCACGGACTGACCTCCTTGGTACCAGACAGACACCCCGCATGGTGTCCCAGCAGAGGATGGTTTATGTCGAGGAGCAGGAGGAGATGGCGCGCAGTGTTAGCAACACCAGATACGTGCAGGTTTTCAGTGCAACACCCAGGAGTTTTTAGCAGCTCTCCTGATGTGTCTGGTGTGGTTAAGGAGAAGTTGTCGTGGTCTAGGTATAAGGAGAGGTAGACTATTCCTAGATTCTTGAGTGTGTGAGAGGCTCCTTTTGTCAGATCTATTTGTACTTTCGAATCTTCCAGTAGCATGGTCGAATACAGCGCTTACGGTTTTAGTCCTGTGTTGAAAATTTGAAACATATCATCATACTACGTGATTCATGTGAGTTACAAATGTTGGTCTCGAAAAGTTTTCAATTGTACAATGTACATGACGCAATTTTGTTAAAGAAAAATAAAATGTAAATACGATGAGAACTTAACAATTTTCGGTTAATTTCATGTACGTATCATGTTTAAACTCAATAGCATAGCAAAATCTTCCAAGAGAATATTGATACTGTATAATAATTTGTTGAGGATCAACTGCTTGCAAATAAAATGAGGTTTATGTAACAAAAGTTTCGTTCTAATAAACATTTAACAAATTCAATAACAAAATTTCTCAAACTGCGGACTAAGATTGTCATATTATAATATCAATTATGTATTCTAATTATAAAGTCCTATACTTCTAACTCAACTACAGAGTATTTATGAAGAATACATACTTATCATAACTGATATAATATTATAATCTACGGAATTATCTAAATAATTAGTAGTCAGTATATCGGCACTGTGTAAAGATAGTACGTAATAGTTTCTAAAAGAATTACATAGGTTTTTCAAGCTACATTTTCAGGACAATATAAGACTTGTGAAGGTGAAATTTTAAAAACCAGAAAACTGCTTCATGACTAATTGTAAAACGAACTCATGTTGGAAAGTGAGGTTAACTTTAAGTTTAAACTAGATGTTATTATCATTAATATTCCAAACATTGCATTGATACTAAAAGACTAAGTCAGACTTCACCAGTTGCTCTTACTGTAAACAAATACCGGTAGCCATGGCGAGTGGCGACAACTCAAGTAATAACTCGACTTGTGAAGATTCTGGAAGGATACAAGTTCTGTACAAGTGTCTTGGAGTTTAACAGTAACACACAGATTATTGGAACAATTAAGACAGAGCAGGGAGACCAAACTCATCAAGTTGAGTAGAAGAAGGATCTTCTTTCGCACTAGATCCAGGCACATTGGTAGGAGCCTCTGCAGCTTCGTCCAAATAACTCATGTCATCATCGAACAACAATTCATCACCTAAAGCATCCAGCTCTGCTTCCAAATCAGCGTCATCAAGATCTGGCATACCATATTGACGTCCTGAATGATTAATTTGTAAGCAAAAAATCTGGATCGGTTGAAAGTGAACTCTAAAGCATAACTGGGAGAATATTTACCAAGATTGCTTCTAGTATATCGATAAAGATATTTCTATAGAAATTGATAAGGTACATCCTGACAAGTTAGTTTCTGTTCACTTGTCAGCTTCTCTGTTGATGTGAGTTAAAACTACGATAAAAGATATTTATTTAAGCACTTAAAACATGACCTAAAACATGATAAATCTAACGTTACCCATGATTTCTTGGATTTCATTTGCATCTTCCATCATATCAACCATATCATCCTGGAGGTCCTCAATCTTGTCAATGTTAACGCTTTTGTACTCTTTCTTCATTTGCTTTAGCCCCGTCTGCATGGCATCCACTGATGTCTTTGTGTCCTTAGAAAAATATTGTTATAACTTGTTATAATCACTTGTACGTTTTAATGATCTCAAGAAAAATTATCTATTTTGACACATGATTGATGATTTGATTGGTCACAACTGGATACTGGTTCGTCAAATCTCTGTCTATTGTTGGGAAAAATATGGATCACCCTAGCATTTAGCCTAGTTCATTAATTTTAGGTAACTCTAATCAAAATATCATTCGAAATATTGTAACATATTATGATATATTATCAAACAATCAATACCTTTAACATTTGAGTGGTATAATTAGTCTGCTCCATATTAAATGACTGGTTCCTGATGCCTTCCAACTGCCCCTCGTATGATCTCTTCTGTTTCAGTACCCTCAGGGCTTTTTGTTTTACCATATTCTTACTTGGTCCATCTCTCATCTTCTTCATTTGATCGGAATATCGCTTGAGCTCAACCTGAAGTCATTCAATAAGCTTACAGTCACTATTGGTAAACACAATACCTTAGAAATTAAGTGAAACAAGTTGGAAGCTGAAAACTCAATTGATAACGATTAATTTAACACACCACAAAATATTCAACCATTAAAATATGGCTTGATGATCATTATGATCTATGATCATATCAATATTATGTCTAAAACTTACATCGAGTTTCTGTATCTTTTTCTCCACACTATCTCCTCTAGCATCTATATTAGCAATAGAGTCTGTCAGATTTGGAGCCGGCCCCTTAGCCCTTGACTGTCCAAAAAGTCTATTCATGACCTGCCATGGTAGAATTTTTGTCAGATGTCTGAAAATTTACATTGCAAACGTATAATAGAGAATTATTATATTTCAAACATACCCAACAATTTCTTAACTTTTAGGCAATGACTGATATTAAGGGCGATGCACTTCTTTGATCCCAATAATCTGCAAACCTCTAGTTGATCGATGGTAAGAATGTAGAAATTATACTGAAATAATAAGTAAAACTAGTGGCTAAGTATTAATTCAACATATAACATTTAACAAGAAATGCGGCCGCTTTTCTTTTGTGGATGGCCGCTCAATTTCCCGATCCGAAATAGATGGTTATTTCATTTGTACCGAACTTGGCAATAAATTAAAATCATCATTATATTCTTTACCATATAAAATGTATAAAAAATCTCGAAAAATAATAAATTACTATTTACTCAACCGATAAACTTTAAAAGTCTTGTCAGAATTTTAAAATTTAAGTTTAAAAGTTCAAATTAAAATTCAATCAAAGCCACCACTATGCTGCTATGTAAAGGGGTAGGGGGTGGCAACAGCAAACTTTTGTTCATAGCTACATCGTTTCATAGGTCCTATCTGTTCAGTACTGACCTCTTACAAGCAGCTTGGGTCCAATATCCTTGCACGTTTTAGGAGTAAGAAGGCATGAGTAAGAATGGTTAGGACTGTGAAAAGAAAAAGTTCAAAGAAACCTCATATCATGAGCTTTTTGGCTAGTGGGCACTTAGCTCTACCTTCTAACAATGTGTCTTCCTTCTGAGTCCTTTATCGCAAGCTTAAAAATCTCCTGAGCATAAGTCTTACAGTTGTGACGAAAAATGTTGTACAGTGTTGTCTGTGCTGAATTCAGCTTTGGTCCATTCTCGCAAAAAATGGCACAAGGCGTCCGTAGCAATGGGATTAACAAACTCAAACTGCTCGATCATTTGAGGTGGCCATGAAAATGAAAATGAACGATCTTTATAGTTTATTTTATCGACAACATCTGCTATTTCTGTACTATTTTGTATCTCGAATCCTGTACAATGCTTTTCTATCGACCAAAAAGATGTATCTCCAGATTGACAGTCTCTTGTTTCAAGGACAATGTATTCATGAAAGATGTTCCAAAGTGAGAGACAACCACGAACAGGGGCTTCACAGTGGTCCGGGCGCCCATGCGAGGTAGACATAGGCATGACTAAGGGGTATGATATACCACAAATCATGTTTTCTAGGGGTATCTTGCCCCAAAATAACGTTTAAAAGGGTTTCCAGAGTAATTAAATGGATATTTGACCTCAAATATTAATTTTACCTGATTTTGTGTCAAAAATTGCATTTTTTGACCATTTTTGGCCATTTTTTATGACAAATTACAAAAATAAGTTGCAAATTAACTTTGGTAAGCATCTATAAGTTAATCTATCTGTAAGTATAGGACATTTAGAGTAATCCTAGAAAAATTTACAGTGTAATATTGTGGCATGATTTTTTTATGAGCTCTCAAAGGTTCATGATTAGACAGAAATTGGGTGAAATTTAGAACTTTTTGAATCCATTTTTAGACCATTTTATCACTTATATCAATTCTAAACTACTTCTTTGTGATTTTAATGTGAAGAGGTCATCAAGAGCTTTAATTTGATGCCTCTATACATGGTTTTTGATAAAAAATTAGAATTTTTTGGGACAAAAACACTGCTCTTTTGAGCAAAATTTAGTTACGCGACAAGAAAATAAGGTAATTTTAGCCCCAAATTGCTGATATTTTCTGAGAATAAGCCTTTAAATTACTCAAATAAGTGTTGCCAGACCTTACAATGACTGTAAAACACTTTGAAATCAATCTTGATGTCCTAATTCATTTAAAAATCATTATTTTTGTGATTGAAGGTCTAAATATGACACATTTTGCCCTGGCGGAACCTAAATTTCGATAAAATTACCAACACTTTCGGGCAGTTGTTGAAAATAGGTCCAAAAAAGTCCTTCTTAGGCATAACCATACCCAAAGATAACTTTAAAACACATTTTGAGACTCTAAAACGATGCCTTTCCTCCAAAAAAGGCAAAACTGAGAAAAAAATATTTTTCATTTTTCACACATTTTTACTGACGTCAAGGTTTTTTATAAAATCGTAACTTCTGTCGGCACCATTTGGCACCTTATTCCTTTTGGAATCTGTTAGAGATTTGTCTCCTCTTTCAGATAAGCTATAGGAATATTGTGGCATATGATGGCATCCAAACTATTTTTTCTCGAATTTCCTAAAAATTTTCCTAAAAATTCGATAAAAATTTTAAGCTTGGTCAAAAATCAACCTTATAAGATAGAACAATAATTTTTTTTGCAGTGTATTAGGATTGCTGCATAGAATTGAGTCTAATATAACCTATAGAGAACTGAGATAACACAATTAAACAGTTTAGAGCTCACTTTTACCTATTTTGGGCAATTTATTAGAGTTTTGACCAGGTTTCTAAAACGTGCGATTTTGACAAGCTGTCAAAAAAAGAGCTTTTTGTGAAATCAATTATGGTTTTTTGCATTGCATCAGCATCTATTTTTTCTAACAGGTTAACCTGGACTAAAAGGAATCTAAGATGGTGACCTAAAATCCTATGACTAGGTCCCGGACCACTGTGGGCTTTCATAATAGATATCTTTACCACCATCTGAGATTCTAGTAGTTGACAAATGTCTTGAAGATCAATTTTATCATCTGCATCATATGACGAAAAGCGAATGTGCTTATTCTTATCTTTAGTGAATTTCATGTCAAAAGCTCTCATGAAGCTAAGTCCAACCATTGTATCTAAACCTGCAAAAGAATCGAATGAGATTTAAACATCATGTTTTTGATGATACAGTATATAATATATTTAAATACTATCAGATATCTAAATAAATAAACTTTTTATGGGTAGAGATATTTAGAACTATTTCTATCATTCCTGTGCAAGTGAGAAGACCTAGATAAGCTATATAAATCATAATTTAATAAGTACATACACGCTGATGTATAATAATAGTTTTATTTTCTTAATTGGCACTACAGTGCTCTACTTGCGTGATGAGATCAAGGAGCAAGGTTAAACTAAAACTAAAGCAATCGTCATTCCTGACAATTGCTTTAGTCGAATTACTATAGTATGAAACTTGAAGTTGAACTTATCATTTGAACTTTGTTTCATTTGTTCTTAACACTCTGATGTATGTATTCTGAAGGTTCAAGATCTTTTGGCATGTAATGGTTGCTCCTTATTAAACCCTTATTCACACTCTTCTCAGATCTGATTCAACGAGGGACTGTGGGATGCTCACTTAACTAATTGTTTTGAAAATAAGCTAACATCTATTGGAGCTTCTCTGGTTACGGGATTTGAGTGCAGTGTTCCCACTTACCAGAAGATTTTGTTGAAATTGCACACTAGAGGACGAAGTCTAGGGGACGGTGCCACTCCAGAGAATAATTACCATATGTCCTGGAAACCACAACTTCTAGGGAAGGTTTCTTTGTTCAAAACGAGTAGTTTGTGTCGCACGACATATCATGTGGGGATTCTGTTTGGCGGGTATCGAGGTTTAACCACCAATGAGATGGTAATACCAAATTTGACTTATTGTGCTGTATTTGATGATTATATATAGATAATATCACAATGACCCTATATAAAAGTAAAAAAGCCCTTAAAAACTGAGCAACATTCATCAAAAATCATTACAGTAAAAGTAGCTGAATGACAATCAATGCACTGGTTCTAAATTTATATCTAAATCTGCTATTTTAACTGCACTACCACTTTCCATCCCTCTTTCTCCTCTTATCTAAGAGCAATAATTATTGTATTATTTTCTTAATAATAATAATAATAATAAATTAATGTTATTTTGATACAGCACCAAAAGGTTAAATAATTTAAATTTAGAGAAACAAATTTTAGAGAAACAAATTTGAATTTTGATCTTTATTACAGATTAAACATATCATATATAACCATAAAAGCCGCGCGTCGGCTGATTGCCTCAACTTGGATTGGTAGTAATTTCAGTTTACAGAAGCTGAAGGACGGCAGCTCAAAAGCCCCAGTGAACCATCGGAAAGATCAAGGACTCGAGTGCCAATAGTGGCTTTTTCGAACCCATTTTCGCCGATTTGCTGTGGCCCAGATGAGCCGCGCCCTGCTGCTTAACGGCACATGATGGTTTTTGTTTAAATACTTATTTAAATTTAAGCGATAATTCATTTGGTGGTTTACAGTTTTTGAATCATGTTCATCATTTATTTTTCGTTCAATTATCACGTGTTTACAATTCAGTCATACCATGCATAGTCAACATTGTTGAGGCAACCAGCTTCCGCAGTTCAATAATTGGAGACCGAAAAATATAAATTGATCGAAATTTACAATTCATCGTTATCAAATATAGTCAATAATATTCTTGATTCCATTTAGTACATAATAAGTTGGTTTTATTCTCTTGCAACACTACTGCACAACAAAAACTGCGCCTGTCCACCAGCAACAGCGCAGTCATAGGTGTGCAGCCAAAGCTAGGCCACACACCCATGGCCGCGCCGGTTAAACAACTCTATATTCAATCGTTATATTATATTAGGAAATTTTAGTTAATTCTTTGATCACTCTTCAGTGCCGGTGGGCAGGCGCCCCGCATAGTTGGCTTTCCAAATTTACAGTCTCAAGAAAGCCGAAACGGTAATCGAGTCCCGGAGCAGAACACACATTTAGAAAATTGAAAAATTAAAATTAAAATTAAGATAACAAATTAGAAATTGAAAATTAAAAATTACATGACTACGAGAGTCCAGACAGGCGACAAACACACAAACCGGACGAAGAGAGGACCCACTGCTGAATTCGACATATAATGAATTGTTGAAAACATAATGATTCCTACACTAATATGATCTTGAGGCATGCCCTGCATGTACTGTGCGAGTACATTGTAAATAATATCTGATAAGATGGGCCAAAAATAGCGGCACAGCGCGCAAAATGCGCGGCGTGACCGCCGAAATTTTAGACATTAACATTTCAATCGGCTTTAGCGCTCAGCATATCTTCATTGAGTAGACATTAGAATTTCAGTTCGTTGGAATCGAAGTTCAGTTCACACCAATCTATTTCGTTGTACCTGGACTGCATGCCGAGTAACTCCTTTTTTATTGTGGATTTCACAAGGTTCGTTGATGTAGAGAAGTTGATATTGCTAGCAGTGTTTCTACAATCGTTCCACATTTTTGTCGATTGATATATGAAGGAGGTGGATGGGGTTGGAGTGATGAATCGATCAGCACGTCTTGATGATCTGTGAAATAGATTTAGGAGTGGGACTGGGGATTCTAATTTATTGATTTTGAACATTTCCAATAAACATGTGTGTTTGAACAAACTGTGTATGGTTAGTAAACCATTTTTCTTGAATAGCGGTTTTGTGTGCTGTTTTTCATAGAAGTCGCTTCCTAATTTTTGCTTGTCTTTACTTCGTGTTCTAGCACAAGTTCTAAACTTTTCTAAGTACGCCTCTCGGTTACCAAATAGTATTCTAACACATTTCTTCTGAGTGATAAATATTGGTTCAAGCCTGTTGTTACTAAGGCCACCCCATACTGATATCCCAAATCGCAAGTGTGATTCAAATAGTGTGTAGTACAGTTCTTTGTAGAGTTTTTCTGGAATAATGTGCCGTATTCTACAAATTTTCCCACTTTCACATTTCAGCTTTGTGTTGAGCGACCGTATATGAGCATCCCATTTAAGCTGATCATCAATAATAACACCAAGAAACTTCACCTTTTTGACTTGCTTTATTACTACATCGTTTAGAGTAAGTACGTGTTCTTCTTCATTATGTTCTACCTTGCTTTTTCTATTCGTTGGTTTAAAGTGAATGTAACAGCATTTCTTAATGTTAATATGCAGGAGATTACATTTCATATACAGTTGTACCAGTTTGAGAATTTGGTTTGCTTGTTCATATAACTTTATCTTACATTCATCCGCGACAAATATATTTGTATCGTCAGCAAATAGAATGAACTTGCCTAGTTCAGTTGCCCTATATAGGTCGTTGATATAAATAATAAATAGTAACGGACCAAGACAAGATCCCTGGGGTACTCCAAAGAGAACTGGAAGCTTGTCAGACTCTTCTCCTAGGACCGAGACGTATTGATATCTATTAGAGAGATAACTAGCAATGAGTTTGTTGGCATTGCCTCGAATTCCGTAATTATCTAGCTTACTCAGTAATTTGTCAGCTGAGATGGTATCGAATGCTTTGCTTAGATCAATTAATATTCCGAGCACGTGCTGCTTTTTATTAAGGCATGATTCTACATAATTCACTGAGAAATTCAGGGCATGACTAGTAGAGTGATTTTTACGGAATCCATACTGATTTTCATAGATCATATTTTGTGACTGGAAAAAGCTGTATAGCCTACTATATATAATTTTCTCGAATAACTTACCAAATACGGCTAAGGTAGAGACTGGTCTATAGTTTTCAAGTAATTCTTCATTTTTTTTCTTGTATATGGGACTGATCCTGCCAATCTTGAAATCGTCCGGGAATATTCCCTCCTTCAAACATTCATTGTATAGTACAGATAATAGGGGGGCGATAATTCTGGATGACGCTTTTACAACATGTATTGGGATATCAGACGATTTGCCATTTTTCAATTCTGATATTATTTTACATACTTCATCGATTGTACAATCATGCATGTAAATACTGGTCGTGTTGGATTTTGGTAGGTAGTCATAGATACTGGGGATGCCATTAATTACTAGTTCGCCGATTTCATTGTATGCCTCGTTAAGATTAGAAGCTAGGGAGACAAAGTACTCATTTTAAAACTCATTAGCTATTACCCTACGATTAGTAATTTTTTCATTATTGATAGTAAATAGAGGTTTGGTTTGTCGTTTTCGTTTACCCCGTATTTGGTTAATTAATTCCCACGTCTTTTTACTGTTTCCGTGCAACTAGACTGCAAATTTTCCACCATAGAACTTAGATTGAGCATTGCGGCGATCTTTTTTGACCTTCCGCCTGCAGTCACTGTATTTTTTATACTTGTCACGTTTTGAGCAACATATTGGGCATTGGCATGTCCCCCCTTTATTTTCAATTTCCCCAAATTTACATTTAACTTTTCTGACCTTTACCCATTTATCGTAAAGTTCGTGCTGATATGAAATTTTGCCCACAAGGTCTGGTGTAATCCATGGGTTGTTCAGTGCTGTTCTTTTAGAGCATTTAGGGGTTTCTAACTTACAAGTTCTATCTATACAGTCCTTAAATATGTCGTTAAATGTTGTAAAATTGTCGATAACATTATTATTGAGATCATGTTCCAGAGTCTGTAAAAAAGCTTTTACATTCGGTTTGTTGTAATCATAATACTGTTTGTATTTCAGGTCAATTCTGCTAGAGTCCAAGTTTCTATCAAAGATTTGGAAGATGGGTGAGTGGTGTGATATACGGTCAGTCAGTATTCCAGAAGCTACTATACTCTCTACGCCGTTAGTTATTATGTTATCAATACAGGATGCTTTGCAGCCTGGTTTCTCATGTGTTGCTAACGAAATTAGGGGGAAAAAATCCTTTACTTAATAGTATTTCTTCATAGCGTTGTACGATTGTGCTATTCTTATCGTGTAAATCAATGTTAAAATCACCCGCTAGGTAACTACACTTGGGGAGACTGTCAAGGATGTCAGAGAGTTCAGATAGTGCAACATTGACATTACCACTTGGAGGACGGTACATTACACCAACTGTTACTGGGGAAGTTGTACTACTTACGGCCACAAAAAGAGTTTCTAAATGTTCAGTGATATGGGATACATTGCCGTTTACTCTGGCACTAAGAGTGTCACAAACATAGAGAGCCACTCCAGTGCCCTTTTTTTTATCTGGTATTGTGTTTTGGTAGAAACTGTTGTATCCAGTTAATTGATACAAACTGCTGGATTCAGGACCTTCATTTGTTTCCGCTAAGGCTATGATCGAGAATTTCTTGGTGAGCCTATGTGATTCAATAGCGAAAGTGTCGAAATTTGACTTATTGCCGTCGATGTTTTGGAAGAGAAGCGATGAAAATTCATTCATTTGATTATCTAGTGCTTTGTTGAATTCCTTGACATTGTACGATACGCAGTTATTTAGTATTTGATCTACTTTTATGATAGTGTCATCCACTTCACTACTTTCAATATCACTTAAATTAGTGCATGCAAGTCGAAATGGATTGTAACGAATAACTGCTAAATGTACGCACTTGGGACAGTAAAAATCGTCAGATAATGTGTCATTGTTAATGGATTTGGTATAGCACTTATGGTGCATTGGGCAGTCGCATTCACAGCATTCAACAATGAATTGTCCTACGTTAATGAACTTCGCACAGACTAGGCATACCTCTTTACTCAGGGGAGTCAGAATGGCTGGTAACCATCCTGGTGTCGAGACTCAGCAGCAGTAGTAGAACCCGTCCCACTCAACACGTTCCGATATGAGCGTCCATCAACCTCGTCTGTTCTCCTTTTCCTTCTATCAACTCCTCCATTCATTCTAAGAAGCACTGTGTTACGAATCAAAGTGCCTAGTTTAGCTGTACCCCTCCAGTTAAGGTGGAGATAATCTGGTCGCTGGTCTCGGCCGATGTTTCTGGAGAACTGTTGGCTAAGAAGCCCAGCAATTTAACCCTTATGCTCAGCTGTAAATGATACCTAAATGACAGTAGAGATCGTGCATCTTGCCTTGGACTGGAGTAAAAACGGAAGTTTATAGCTGCAAGTTAAATCCTGACTAAATAAGGCAGAAACACCTTTAACAAGAAGATATCCAAGAAAGGTTAGCAGGTTTTCTAACAAAACATATGAAAAAACATCATTTAACTACCAATTGGAAAGAAGTGATGTATACGCTAAAAGGTAAAGATTGGTAAGGTAAAGATCTAATTGCAGCCAGCGGCACACACTTACTATTACTATCATGATTGTACTATAGACAGAAAATCTTTCAAATCGATTTTGGGCGCTTTTTAACCATTTGTTGTAATGTTTTTAGATAAGTTAAACATCTAAATTTATAAAAAATTTTTATCGGAATGAATTAATTGATATTTAATAATTTATTCGGTAGGTTTATCTGATATTGATATTGATCATATTGATATTGTTATTATTGAACGAAGCTAACTCTAGACATAGTTAATACTACTTCTTTTAAGAAAGGGACTTGGAGTATAAACGACCAAGTTTGCATAAATTTCTACCCAACCAAGAACTAAGGAGGCAAAGGTGGGTGCGTAAACTTTTGGTCTGCACTCTCCGATCCTGTATCACCCTGGATTCTTCTCGACGTATCTTTGTAAAAGTTATATACCTTCTAGTCAATCTCTTGCTACTCCAAGTCCCCTAAGATATCTGATCTAAAGTTCGTGCTAGTTATATATATATGAAATATATTTTTGTGTGCTTTAATTGATACTAAATAAAATTGTTGTTTTCTTGAAATTGTTGTTTTCTTGAAAGAACTGCTTGATAGTTTTGAGTTTTAAAATGGGATTAAAATTATTCAAACAATATACACATAATAATATAGCAATGACCCTATATAAAATCAACCCTTTAAGAATTCAAAAAATTCCCTTAACAATTAAAAATTACCCTTGGCCTTGTGGCTCCAAGTTAAGATCTAGACTGTTTATATCAACAATGTTTTTTCTCGCACCTCTGTCTCCATGGAGAGAAATCACTGGTGTTCTGAGAATTTCAAAGCAAAGGCGCTTTCTTATGTATCCTACGGCGTCTGAGTATCTCTGACCAGTGTGGTACTCCATCTTACTGGCCAACTTCTTGACCAGTCTCTCAGCTTCACCACCCATTCCACCAGAAGTCGAGAACACTAAAGGTGTGAAGCTTCCTTTCTCCACTTCAAGAACCCTTGCATTGTAACATCGCTATTTCTCATTTTCATGGGACAGGTACATTGCTGGTATCGGTTTGCATGCATTGGGGGGGGGGGGGGGGGCTGGGGCATGAAATACCCTTACCCCAAAAAATGCCCTCTCTGAAGCATTCCAAATCGATCTTGCAGAAATGTCCAGCCTGGCTTGGTCTCCTAGGACTGTCCCCCTTGGTAACTCTAGACCATCAACTGGCTCAGTCTGCACATCCTTGTTTTAAAATGGGATTGGAAAGTTTTAAAAAGGATATGATTTCTAAATGTATTGTTTATGACTTTCATTTTTGGAATGTTTCGAAAGAAGTTTTAACAAGAATCGAAGGTACAAATTATGTCAGTAATAAGAAAAAACACAATATTATCTTTGGTTTCATCCTTATGTAGCAAGGAAACGTATTATAAATTTTTACTCCACTACGGTGTACGAAGAAAATTTATGCTTTTTAAAAAAATTTATACTTTTTCAAAAAACATACTATATACTTAAAAAAAAAACATATATACTTTTTCAAAAAACATATGTTTTTTGGAACGTATATATTTTGTATTTGCGGAAAAACATATATTTTTTGTAAAGCCCCTTCTCGAACATCAAGTGTACGAGAAAGTGCCTTTCAAGGCCGGCACCTTCTCGTACTTGAAACAAATATTTTACGAGTATCACCCTTTAATAAAAATAAAATAAAATGCCAATAGGTCGATTAAATTTATGCGCTTGTGGTTTAAAGTTAATTTAGTATTTTCAATTTAGTCTTTGTTGTATCACGTCGTGACCCCCAATGTCATGTCGTTTCACTATAATATAAAGTTTTTACGCGATACAGCTCAGGGGGAGCCGCTTAATTGAAGATGTCAATTCATGGCAGCTCGGCGCGGCACAGCCGCGCACTCAATGTCGCTGTGAGAAGCCTCATTGAGTGCGCGGCGCGGCGCAGTAACGCATCGCGCTGCAAGGGAGCCGCGCACACAACGTATGACAAAGTTTTTGATCTTGAGCCTAATTATTAAAAATTGCGAATGCATTTGGCTAATTGCAAATTGGAAATCCAACAAATGTTAAATTCTTTTTTGGATGAAAAGCTATAACATTTTTACTGGGCCGCGCTCAGCCTGTCATTCCGCCAAATCTTTATTCGGTGTTAATGAACATAATAGCCTGGGGTCCTCAGGTAATCATATAACTGATTGGGATCTGACACATGTAATTTTGTAATGATCTTTCTAATTTCTAATTTCTAATTTCTTTATGTGTAATCAAACGGCTTTTACTAATATAATTTGCTCGCCCAAAATTATTACGTGACTTTAGTTTTCGTGATTTTCATTTGCAGCCGAACAAAATAGGTTTTAAATTAACTCTAATCCCAACCCTTTTTGGACGCTGATTCCAAATCAGCGTCCAGAATTACACCGAATTAGATTACTTTCCCACCATCCAATCATTTTCACAAGAATTTTTTTTTGATTGTTAAGGGAATTTTTTGAATTCTTTAAGGGTTGATTTTATATAGGGTCATTGCTATATTATGTGTATATTGTTTGAATAATTTTATAAAAAAAAAAATATTAGACAGATCATGATCCAAAAAGCCAGCTGAAAACTCTTTGCATTACAATTTAAAGGAGGAGGTTTAGGAATACTTGACCCAAGTCTGATGTCTGACCTTGAACACGAATATTGCTGCCAAGCAACATAAAAAGCTTTTTGGAATAAATGTTCAGATTCAAAATAAAAATCATGGATAGAGTTGTTTAAGGAGAAAGGGGATGTCTCTAAACACAAAAAGCTGAATGAATCAAAACAAGGGTGTAATATAAATATATATAAAAATCAAAATCCTTTCTTGCTGTCAGAAAGAACTGGGCATGACGTGTAACGTGTTTCTTTCCATTAAGGTAATCATAAAATGACCTTGCATTTGAAAGGTACTTGAATGTGCCTGCAACTTGGGCTATACCAAGTTCACTTCTCTAAACTTTCCTTGTATCACGTCGTGACCCCCAATGTCGTTTCACTCTATACTCTATACTCTATACTACCCCTGTACACTACGATACAGGGGGAGCCACGCACTCGTGGGCAGCGGGTCATACAACGTACCGCATGACAAAACTTTCCTATACTGTTCCTTTCAAAGATAAATATACTTTGTAAGTTTATGATTGTGAAGGGCTGCCACAGCATAGCATAGTAAAGTGTTATTATCTACAGTGCACTACTCTTTTCAGTGGCATAACGTTGCCTGTTGGCCGAAAATGCGCCCCTGTTGGCGCCTCTCACTAAAATTGAACAAATTAGGTGATTTTAGGGGATACGCTGGTAAAATCTCTAAAAAAGTGTGTTTCTCGAGAGCAAAACACACAGTTTTGCTAGTACCTCAGTTATGTTTTTCAAAATTGTCCCACATTCAAACGACAATTTTGTGCCCCCTAAGATAGCGCCCCCCCCCCCAGCAAGGTGGGGTCAGCGGGGCCCATTGTTGCGCCACTGACTCTCTTGCACTCTCAATCACGACCCTACAGTGGTCGAAAACTGCGCTTTCGCCTTTCAGTTACATTCGAAAGTTTGAGTGAAAAAAGATGTGCAAGTGCTGCTACATACACTTCAAGCCTCCCATGAAAGGTTCTAAGTCAGAGACTCTATCAGATGATGAAGTAGGACTTACTATAGACAACTTTCCGATAAAAAAAGTTTCATCCACTAAATTCCTTGGAGTTATAATTGATGAAAACCTTTCATGGGAAGAACACATTAAAGCCCTTAAGCGAAATCTAAATCATTCCACTTCCACCTTATGTCGACTTCGCTGCTCCCTTCCAGAATTTCTACATCAACAACTATACTATACTTTGTTTGAATCCCATCTCTCTTACTGTATATCTGTCTGGGGTGCAGGTGGGGCAGCGAAGCATCGTATAAGCTCTCTGTTTACCGCCCAGAAGTACTGTCTTAGGGTTATGTTTGGTGATAGGGAGGCTTACCTTGATAAGTTTAAGACCTGTGCACGTACCAGACCAATAGGGCACCAAAGACTTAACAACAAGTTTTTCATAAAAGAACATACTAAACCGCTATTCAAACATAATAATATCCTAGCTATCCAAAATCTCTATACATACCACTGTTACCTCGAGCTCTACAAGATAATGAAATTTCGTGCTCCAATATCCTTACATGAAGGCTACACATGCTCGACAAGGAAGCCAACCCTACTTATTTGTCAGGCTGACCCACCTGATAACCATAATACAAGATCAACCAAAATTTTTAACATGATTACTCCAAAAATTAGAATGGATGACTTTACCATGAGTGTGATGTGTTTGTGGGGAAAGCTTAAACGTGCACTATTAAATAATCAACACAGCCACGCCCCGCTTGATTGGACAATCAAAGATTTTGACTGCAACAATATTGTCTTCGAAAGATCACTACTTGCTGGTCACACATGTCAGCGAAATTCCCCTAGTCTAGTGTTTTCCAAGTCTTGTTCTGTGAGTAAAGTATGTGTGAGAAAGTCTTTAATAAAATAAAATGAATGTATATTTTTGAATTTTTAACATTTAATTTGATAATGCAGTATAAAGAAATTTTTAATTAGCACTGTATAGTTTAAGATATTTATTTTAGCTTATTATAACCATTGATACAACAACCATAATTTTTCAACAGCTCTCCAATATCCATCTTAAAGTTGCATCTTATATCCTCAAACTACACAATTTAAACTTAGGCATATATATATAGTGTAGACTTTCTGTCACAACAAGACTGTAACCCATAGTAACAAACACAAACAGAACCCCTAACGTCTGCTAACAATTTTCTTCTGATCCTCATATGAGCCCTGTCTCTAAAAACTCAACTGAACTAGCGTTTTGGTGTGTGCAAAAGCTTTCAGGCACGCACATTCCCTGCCCCGTTAGTTGCCTGTCCCTTCAAAATCAAACTAACAGCCAAGGACAAAAAGTCATAACCAAATGAGCATTATATTTTACTCTGTAAAATGTGCTAAAAATTAAATTTCTTGTTTCATTGAAAAAAAATTTCTTGTTTCATTGAAAAAAAAAATCTTTATATTGCGATAAGATATTTCCGAATAATATTACTAATCACTATTTCTATTTTCAAGCACCAGTCACCAGATAACAATTTTAGGGTGTCCACGGACGCCTGGACGCCCTCAATAGCCGCCTCTGGCTTTTTGTACCACCAATTTTTTTTGCGCTGACCAAACGTTCAAGTGGACAGGATAATACAGAAATCTGACGTTTTTTTTCCTATAAAAAATACCTAAAACTAGGGAAAATGCTGCCACCCACTGAATAGTAACGGTAGCGGTGGCGATTCATATGCAACTAGACTGTAACTGAGAGGATGTTGAACTGCTTCTCCAATCTCCATTTATGAAAGTATGAAGAATTGTCACACCAGTGAGCAGGATTTCTATTTCAATCGATCAGAAGATTTCAAATGAAGTTCAGGAATTATATTCAGCTGTGACACTGTTTATGCTTATCTTTTTTCCTTGATGACACCTGACACAATGACGATATATTTGTGTGAAACATTAACTCTGAATATCAGTAATACTTAATACTAATTATAACAATAATAAATCAGTAATATTTTAACATTTTTATCATTCTAGCTACTGTACCATAAGCAAACACATGTGAGGAAGTTGGTTCATCCAACATGAAACTAGGTTGGAAACCTGGCTCATAACATAATAAACTACTGGTCTATGAGACTTCATGAGACCCCCTTTCTTCATGCAGCTGCTACAGCAAGAATATCCTCAAGTAAGTTTGGGCTATTGAAATTCCCTGTTCGAAAAGTATTATTAAACTCCTTAAACTGTTCATTGTACATTGTACAACTATATTATAATATAAATTTAAAACGTAAAACAAATTATCCCTGACATTTAATAAAAAGTTAATTTATTAACAATTATTCAAAATATATATGTTTTGTAATGAAATAATGATTTCAGACTGTCAAAATGGGTCGTTAAGCAAGAAATCGTCAGAAAATTCTAAATGGCAGACAAAGTGGTGCGTCCTTTTCAAAAATTTGATGTTTTATTACGAAAGGGAGAACTCAACTAGGCCATCAGGTTTGATACCTTACAGAAAACATACAATTAAGATCAAATTAACTGTGACAAGTTAATAACTTTTAAGTTATTAACGTTTTTAATTTAGGTTCAGCATCAAGATAATATTCTAATTCTTCATAATAAAAAACACCTAAATCCTAAACATTTCTAGGTAATTGTCAATGCCATTCTATTGTTCCATACAATATATTGATAGAAACTGCATTTCAATGTTGAATGTTGATTATATTTAATGAACAGGAGTGGTACTTTTGGAAGGTACTACTTGTCAGAGGGCTGTTATGCATGATGATGGAAAGCAGGTTATATTCTTACGATGTAGCTGATTAGCTGCTTTATCTGAGCTGCTCTCTTAAACGCAGCTAATTGAACTTATTGGCTAATTGTGTAATTAGCTAGTTAGATCCTCTGATGCTGAACTTCTTGGGGCTATTATCATCATGATGACTACTTTTTTTGCTGTTTTCTGCTAATCTAACTCAATCTTATGAAGTTTTTAAGGTGTAACTTACTAATCCACCCATATTTATTGCAGCCCTGAGCCCTAATTATTATCCTTATGGCCATGTAGCAACCTCAGAAAAATTAACTTTCACCTATAATATACCAATAATTGAGAGATGAGGATTAGGACTGGTAAATCAAATACTTAGTAAATATAATGGAATATCGAGCATTAATCAATATTCACAACAACAAAATATAAATAAGATGATTATAAAACCTCTGAATAGATGTGAGCTCTTGGCATTACTTAAAGGGCATCACTGAGGGCATTGACTTTAAAAACTGTCCGAAAATAAGGGTGGATTAAGTATGCTTTTTTCTCAATTCTTCTATTCTTAATTTTTAAAGATTTTATCTTAATAACTCGGATACACAACAGATTATGATAGATACAGAAATGTCAACAATATACATTTTGATCTTATACAAATGTGAAATCGACATTATTATGTACCTATTTGTCTTGCAAATCGGGTTAAATAGTATTTCGAAAAAAGAGGTTGATATTCTCGCATTTTCTTTTATTTCATATCCAAATCATTTCAGTTTGCCTTCACCATTGCAGTAACAAATGACAAACAACCCCTCATATTTGCATCTGAGACTGAAAGTGATTGCTTGGTGTGGATTACTTCTATAACTCAGTCAAGGTTAAATTCATAGTTTAATTTGCTTCTTAAGTATTTTTCACTTTTCGTTTTCTTCCTTTTTGAATTATACTGACACGATGGCCATGGTATGACTCTGATAAAACAGCAGTGTTATTCACTCATTGGGCCACATATATTATTAAAGTAACAATGTGACTGCCACAGTATGCTGAGAGTAGAAAAGGACTGTGTTGAACTCCAAGTGAAACTGCAAGAGGTACAGAAACGGCTCCAAACCGAGCAGGCCACAAAGATGGAGTATCAAACCTTCACTGAGGAGCAAGTTATCACAATCAAACGGTTACGGGATGAGAACTTCAAACTCAAGAAACATGTCAGTACTGAACTGATGTCTTATAATTTGTTGATATTTCCGTTTTAACTTGATCATGCCAGACACCCAGAGCCATCATCAAGGGTTGTGTTGTGTTACCAGGTATTAAGTAACCAGGTAACAAGTAACAAGTAACCAGGTAACAAGTAACCAGGTAACAAGATACCAAATAAACAACATGATATCATCTTTAAAGATAGAAGAGCTAAAGATGGAGAAGTACAAGAGTTCTTCTGAGAACGGAACTGCTAAGAATAGTGAGGAAGAGAGACTGAACGCCCTAGTCAGCTCAGTGGCTCACAGGTATATCATAGATAATGTTAACTTTTATTTAGATTCTAACCCTCATCATTCTTTGACAAATTGTATATTCACAATAATTGAGCCCATTGAGATTTAAGTTTCAATGGTCCAACTTGAGTTATGAACTTCATAACGTTATGTCAGGTGGTATAACTTGACAAGGTGGAGGAAGATAATTGATATGTACGTTAAGAGTGAACACGCGGACAGTATGAAGAAAAGAAACAGGGTATAGTTTTAACTTTAAAAAAATTGTTACTCTCCAATGCAATACATTAATTCGTGGTAAAAAAACTGAAAAGCCTCTCAATTTACAGAAACGCTGGAGATTTAGTGAGTAGAACTATCGTGAAAGTTAAGTTGGTTGACTGCCCCTTACTACATAGTTACTGGCCCTTACTGGCCCTTACTGGCCCTTACTGGCCCTTACTGGCTCTTACTGGCTCTTACTGGCCCTTACTGGCTCTTACTGGCTCTTACTGCAGGTGTTATGGCAGCTAATGAAGTCTGAAGAAGACTACGTATCCCAACTTGGCACGTTGGTGATGTGTTTCTACAAGCCTTTAAAGATGGCTGCGAGCTCATCACACCCGCCCCTCTCCCACGCTCAGCTTAACCTCATCTTTAGAAACTGGTAATCATCTCCAATACATTACTGTCTTACACGTCTGGACTTTTGATGCTAATTTTTTGGTGTTTATATTCGAAATGATGGAGTAACCGCGACCGTAATGATGACGCGTAAAACTGAGAACGATTAACCTACCAGCTTGCTGGCTTCACCTTCTAAAAAATATAGAGCACTTTTTCAGTTAAATTTAAATTATAATTACAGGGTGGCCCAAAAGTAACTGCCCACACGCAACCCATTAATTACTCACGTAATTCTTCTTAGAATTGCACAGAAATTTCAGAGATTATAGATATGGGTCAAACTTAAATTTCCTGAAAGTTTCGTCGAATTTAATTAATTACAGTGGGTGTGGCACGCCACTCCCTCGTTTTCACTATTGTCACCATAATAAAGTGAGAACGCTTTCAGCTAGGAATTTCAAAGTTTCTAGACACATTTGGTTTGATAATTGAAGTGCTTTCCCAAAATTTCAAGTTGGTTGTTCACAATTTAACCGATTTATGACCCTTTTAAGATCTTGCAGATACGTGATCGAGCACTTAATCAGTGATATCTTCACTCAATCAATGCCCTGATTGGTTGGAGACTGCTTATAGGACAGCAACCGAAGCTCTATAACGCGAATTTCTTCGGTTTTAAGGAACGTCACTATCAGTATTCACTCAAAGTGATCAGATCGTCATCCACCAACATGCTCGTTACCGCCTAATGAGGCTCATTGTTGCTGGCTAGCGAATAGCTCCCGATGAGATTACTGATTGAGTGACGAAATCACTGATTACCTAAGTGCCGAGATCACGTATCTGCAATATCTTAAATTGTGAACAACCAACTTGAAATTTTGGGAAAGCACTTCAATTATCAAACCAAATGTGTCTAGAAACTTTGAAGTTCCTAGCTGAAAGCATTCTCACTTTATGGTGACAATAGTGAAAAAGAGGGAGTGGCGTGCCACACCCACTGTAATTAATTAAATTTGACGAAACTTTCAGGAAATCTAAGTTTGACCCATATCTATAATCTCTGAAATTTCTGTGCAATTCTTACAAGAATTACGTGAATTATTAAATGGTTGCGTATGGGCAGTTACTTTTGGACCACCTTGTATATAATTCTAATTTGAGTTTTATTCCTCTGCTAAAAACCATTTCTGCAACTCTGCAAGAGGAAAGGACCGAGGAATTAGTGGCGTGTCACTTTAAGCAAAGCAGTCTGAACTACCCCTTAACTCAGTTGAGCAGTTATTTGCGTGATTTCTGCAAACCAGACTGCAGTCCAGTGGACATAACGTTTATATTAAAGGACTACGCCTGCTCCACATATGAACTATAACATGCTACAACACTCCATAATATACCATATCATGCTGCACTATCCGTATTAAGATCACAATATGTACACCCATATGATGGTTGCAAATTGTAGTTATCACAGAGATGTGCGAGGTCAACTTTATCTGGCAGCACTGCTAAAACCCCAAATTCACCCAGTTTGTTTCAGTGAGACACTATTCTACATACACCAGATATTCCTACAAGGGTTACAAGTTAGGATGGAGAAATGGCCCGTCCTCGTTTTAGGTAATGGTTTTTGCAGAAGATTTTTTCAATATTTTAATAATGTCATTGTATAATTTGCTGTGTTAATTTTTTTCTAATTCTAATAAACAGGTGGCAGATTATCAAATGACGCCTCTGAAAGGGAAAACTTGTGTTCCTTAATCGACATCTTGTAACCTCTTGAAGAATTTGTACTTTTACTGCTAATTTTACTCTTATTATTATTATCATTGTGCATTAGTTTACAATTATAAGAGAGTAAGAGTTCCTGCTGAAATCTTATTAAAACAGAATTTCAATCACAGTTAAGGCCACAGGGGGGGGGGGGGGGGTCCGAGGTCGAAAAAACGTTTTTTGCCAGTTGGCAGACCACGTACTATCTGAGGCTTGCACACCACCGTCCACCCTTAGCCCCCCAGAGCGCCTAGTTTGTCGTAAAATTGAGGTTAACTATTGCCTTTTTAATCAGTTAACCTCACAAATAACCAGTTCAATATTTTGTCGCTCTCATCACAAGTTAAACTTATCAATGGGTATCAATTGGCCATCCAATGTGAACAGAACTATTATATGTCCTTTATTTGTTGGAAAATTGAGGTTAACATATTTTCTCAGAATCAGTCTTTTGACTCTCCTGAACAATTTATTTACCACCTCAAAAACCTATCTTCTCCTAGAGCTTTTATCCATTTCACCTCAAATTTGGAACTTATGTTCCTGACATAAATTTAAAAGTTTGTTATGTAACGATTGTTGTAATTTTGCTCCTAACTCTTTTTATGAGGTTAACCATTTTAAATTTTGTAAATTTTGTAACCCGCACTCATGGTTACCCTCATATCTCAGCTTTGGAGCAAGATATCATAAATCGTTACATAACAAAAACTCAAAATACCTTGAAGAACATTGTTGCCAAGTTACAAGGTTCTAAGTCATAAACTGAAAAAGAAGATAGATTTTGAACACAATTTCATTTAAAGTTTTCATTTACAATAGAATTACAGGTAAACCTCAAAATTCAACGCGCGATATCTTCAAATAGGAAACTTTGTTTTCGGTAACGACAAAAGCATTTGAAAATTTAGATCGAGCTCTACAACATATCTCAAAATCTCAAAATTGACCTCGGACCCCCCCCCCCCTGTGGCCTTAAGATCCACTTATTCGTAGCATATTCTTAGCCTGTTGTATTTGATGGCCGAATAACGAAAGCCGTTGTAAGTAACTCAATAGTCGGGATTCTATTCTATACAACTTTTAACAAACGACATGGCCTATCATGTAACATTCTAAAACAACAAGTCAAAATCTATTTTGATCAACTACTAACTTGGCTTACAAATTTGAAATTTCCTTAATCGGAAAACGCCTAATTCGTAGATTAGATACGATCTATCTTGACATGCTTACCCCTGTCAAAGTGTTCATATAAATAGGCACGTTTAAGTTTTAAAAGAGGTGGATCCCCAGAGGTCGTATAGTTTCATGCTGGTGCTAGTTCTACCAATGGTCGGTAATTCTGGTTGGTAGAATCCTGAAATCCACAACTGATGAAGTTAGCTAATGGCGATAATAAAACAGTAAATACCAGATTTACCACGAAGCTTCGGGGTTCGCTGTAATTCAAGTTTTTGACTGTTCAAGTGTTCACATTATGATTATGACTAGTGTAACCCGGCCTTCGGCCGGGATTTCACTGCCGCAGTTAAAAAGGGTAGGAGTAATTACCCGCTGAGTCAAAACCCGGATTAGGCGAGCAATTCTATTCGGAGTGCCCTCACGTATCCAATAGTATCCTTAATTAAAAGATAGTATCTTAAACAATAATCAATAGAAATTAACCCTTAACACCATGCACCACACCCGCCTATCATATTTGTGAACATGCATTACATTGTCGTATGAAAGTATGAACTCTCTCTACAGTCCAAACAGGCCGTTTGAGCTCTCCCTCCCCTAATAAGTTTATAGTATTACATGACCATGTAATATATACGCCATGTAATATATACGCTACATAATATTATGATCAGAGAGAGAGAGCTAGCCCGGCCCCGTAACTCTTGCCGTTCTGCTCAAGTCATTTTATGTAACATTTGTGGTACAAAACCATCAATTGAACCACTTACCACCGGCCGATTTTTATAAAATTTGCTTATTGGCTTCGTCAGAGTTTCGGAAATTTCAAACACACACACACACACACACACACACACACACACACACACACACACACACACACACACACACACACACACACACACACACACACACACACACACACACACACACACACACACACACACACACACACACACACACACACACACACACACACACACACGGATTTCTTGAGATTATTAAGGTTGATATGCATTTTAAGCCCTCATTTAGGGGAAAGAAATGGCCGCGGTAAATCGGGGTGTTACTGCACTTTTATTATTTAATCGTGTTACTGCATAAACCTAAACAATCACCGTTAGCAGAATGAATAGTCAAAACAAACGTATTTCGGAACATAACATGGTTTATTTAAATAACAAAAGTTGCTGTTATTATAATAAACCCAAATACTCATTTTGAACTCTTTCCACGTCAACATTTAAACCTTCGTCTGGTCGATATAATGAATGACAAACAATTGAGGTTGAACGTGATTAATACGAAAACATTATCACTTTATTATTAAATTTTGAACGAATTAAGGACAATTTTATACAAACATCTTTGGCTTACGTTTTTTGCCACACACCGCTCCTCATTATCATGATTATATTGCATTAAGATTTTAAAACAGCAATAGCCAAATACCAACCCCAGCAAGTGTCTTATATACCAAGTACTAAGTACGGGTATTTGCCTCACAGAATGGCCAAAACAAAGGAAGGTCTCTCAAAGTCACAAAACACACTTTATTCCAGTTTTTATCTCATAAGAAGCTAAGTTGACACTCATATTTTTCTTCCCGGGGGTTCATTTAATCTCATAACCATTTTTTCTTTGAGAAAAATTGGCCGGAAAATCTTCCTCGAAAAAAACATGCCTCACAGAATGGCCAAATCTGAATTTCTATAATTTTGTTGATGGAGATACTTTTTAAATTTCTATCACCACACGTTCTTAGAAAACCTATTAAGGAATGGGGTAATAACCTAAAACTCACGAAAAAACTGAGCTGTGAAAAATTATTTCACAAAAAAGAAAAAATGCCTGACAAAATGGCAAAAAAAAAAGAAAACGAGAAAATTTTATTTTTCTAAAACCTTTGGCTCTTGTTTCAGGCATGCTGCTGGTATTAATATGCCTTGTTAGCACCCCCATATAGGTGAAATTTCTTAGAACTGAATAAAAAGGGCATAATTTCCTACACCAAAAATGGCCATTTTGTGTGGCGTTGTTCATATTCCCTGATTTCATGATTTATAACCTTCATTCGGCTGTAAAAACACTCCATCTGGGGTGTTATTGTATAATAAATAGCTTATGAATACTTTAGACTTATGGTTTCATTGAATAAAAGGAGTTTTAAATTTTGGCCATTTTGTGAGAGGCATATTTTGGCCATTTTGTGAGGCGTTTAGCCATTTTAACATTTTGTTTCTTCCTAAATTGAACAATGTTCGTTTTGTTTGATGAATACTATTCTTTAAACATCTTCTGTCATACTGGTGCCAGAAGTTCTCACCAAAATGCAAACTTAGTTCAAAAATTTGAAAACAAATTTTGTGAGGCATATTTTGGCCATTTTGTGAGGCGTGTAGCCATTTTAGCATTTTTTTCTTCCTATATTGAACAATGTTCGTTTTTTTTGATGAATACTATTCTTTGAACATCTTCTGTCATACTGGTGCCAGAAGTTCTCACCAAAATGTAAACTTAGTTCAAAAATTTGAAAACAAATTTTTCAGTGCTCAAAATTTCTACATAAACAGTCATATTTATGCCAGAAAATGTGGTCCTAGTTAATGATTTCACCACAGGAAGTGTTGCCAGAAGACTTTTGTTTCATATGGTATCCACAAAACCTACCAGTCTTTTATAAAAAATTAGTTACAAAAACATTTACAAATTTGGCCATTCTGTGAGGCTAGCCATTCTGTGAGGCATTTACCCGTATGTTTTTAATCTTGTCTCACATTACCTCAGATACTATTTAACTATGTCTCAAATTTAAAAAATAATGCTACTCAAGAGTAAACGGCCCTAAGTATATTATATAAGTAATAAGTATATTATATAATATATTTTATACAAGTATATTATATAATATATATTATTAATATTATATAAGTATATTATATAAAAACCACGGCAGTATAGAGATAGCCCGACCACTGGTCCGCGGACCACTGTCCGCGGACCACTGTCTGCGGACCACTGTCCGCGGACCACTGTCTACCAGATCATATTACTGTATAATAACAGTATTGAGTATCCCCTGAATCAAGCAGGGTTCACATCATCCCCTGAATCAAGCAGGGTTCACATCATCGCACGCGAATTCCAATCAGCGGTGGTGTCAAGGCTTATTAAACGATTAAGCAACCTTACGAGATATAATACAAAGAATAACTATTATCAGACTGCATCAATCATTTCTATCATCAACTCCTTCTTGAACAACTACAACTATGGTCTCAGAGAAAACGAAACGGATGAACTCAGCCCTACCCTGCGACCCTATCTGCAAACCTATCTCACCTCTCGACAAGTGGACTCAAGCTGGTAAAACCCTCATCGTCTCCAGAGCCAACCCAAGCTTCTGCGTTTTCTGCAACAAGAGGCATGCTGGTATATCATGCGCTGCTCATGACCGTAATCAATAGTTTGATCCAGTAATTTACTACGCTACAATTAATTATGCTAGTCGTAACTAATTGCATCCAAGATACCATACATACCATTCATATGATCTGGTAACCAATCAACTATTCAAAAACACCTGTTGCTTGATTCAGGGGATACTGTTATTATACAGTAATATGACAGTGGTCCGCAGACAGTGGTCCGCAGACAGTGGTCCGCGGACCGTGGTCGGGCTATCTCGATACTGCCAAAACCACAGTTTCAAGAGCAGTGTTCCAATCATTCTATTGTCAAGTATTTCAGGTATAGTAATTTCCCCTATTTCAGATATTTCAAACTTATTCCCCAAATTCAGATATTTCAGATATTCCCATATTTCCCACACACCTTCCTCTCCCAGATACACTGTAGCCCACTGTAACTCAATACACTCCCCATAATATAATATTGCCAAAGAGAGAGAGAGGGAGAGAGAGTCTACAGTTGTAATAACCCTGATTTCCCAGGGGATTTGTTCGATATGTTGCTACCTCTACTCGTCGTGTACCAGGACTTTGTTAGGAACCACGCTTCCAGTCTCGAGGTAGATGACAGCTAACTACTGTAAATTATAGATTTATTAAACTGATAACTATATTGTGTATAGGATTCAAACAGTTTATAATTAAGGTGGGTCTAATTAATTGTTGGAGGAATCGCATCAGTTAGAGTGTTTGAGTGTCTATGATTTAAACACAATTTCTAAGAACATTTAAGGTTTAAAACTCCAAAAAATTATCGAGAATAAGGGCAGTGATCACTGATCGACCGAGGGCAGTATTTGCGACTGAGACAGAGGCCGAGGAAGGCATATTGTAATTTAACCGAGGCTGAGGAGAACTGAGGCCGAGGAGAACCGAGGTTTTATTTTTTCAACCGAGGCCGAGGAATTTTGGTACAAAAAAGTATTAATTGCATCAGATATTTCGCTAACGATTAGGATGTAGAATGACCTGTAGAATTTCTCAGGATTGCCGTTTAATTAAGTATGTACGTATCAGTTATAACTTAAAGTTAAAGAGTATACAATAAATTCTAACATTTATAATTACACGATTCGACATTTAAATATACCCAACAAAGATGTATTATTTATATGTAAGTCATTCAAGCGAGACTTATTGTGGAAATATCAAGATTATGTACTACTTCTTTATTAGTCCAGAATTTATGGACAAATATTGGTATAAAATTACCAAAATTATGCACTTTCATATCAGTTCAGACATTATGGACAAATATTAGGAATATTATCAAAAGCTAGGCGGAAATAAAATGTCTTTACTAGGGCATTTAACAAAATTCTATCGATGATAATGATCTCACTGAGTAAGGTAGTTCATTCCAAAACATAATTGCAGCATCTGTTCATCTGAAATGAGGAGCAGGAGGAACTTTCAACAAATAAAAGTCATCATCTTGTCTAGAACTTCGTACTTCTCTTAGATTGATGTGTCCTTGTAAGTACTGATGGGCTATGTTATTAAGACACTTGAAGACCAGAAGTGATATTTTGAACTTGATTTTGAACCGAACAGGTAGAAAGTGGAGCTTTTTGAGGTATGGCAATTGGCATGATAGGTTCATGTATCTTTTTTCCGTAAAGACAAAAGATAAATCGATCAGCATTGTTCTGTATCTTTTGTACTAAGATTCTTTTCTGTTAGACCATATAATAAACTGAGTTGCAGTAGTCTATGAAACAGAGAATATTGGAGTGAACTAACTGAACTTTTAGGTCATGGGAAAGCTTCGAACCGATCCTTGTCCCTTTGATTCAGATAGCATACTTTGGACACAGCATTTATTTGACAGTCCAGGTTCATTTGGTGATCAAAAATGAATCCCAGGTTCTTGGCCTTGCTAACGGGACTGACTGGGTGGTCTCCTAAATCCATTGTCTGGACTGGGCTGACATATGGTCCTATGTCAATGAACTCTGTGTTTTCATCAGTCAGTTTTAAGAAGTTAACTGTCATCCATTGCTTTATTTCCAGAAAGCAATTTTTCACAGCTTTAAATCAGGATTAGAACTGTGAACATCACAAGCAAAGTACACCTGTGTGTCATCTGCATACAGATGAATCGAGAAACCATAATAAGTATGTACATTTTCATTTAAATATATTTTGCCTGGGATGAAGGTGAGTTATCACAAAAAAAGACGTTAGTGAACCAGGTTTCTGACTGTACAAAATCTTCGGTCAAATCCTCGGTTAAATCTTCAAATTTTGGCGAGGCCGAGGAATGGCAACTCGATTTTTTACCGAGGCCGAGGAAAAATTGTCATTCCTCGGTAAAACCGAGGACTCTGACTCGGTCGATCACTGAACAAGGGTGTTCCCTCTGGTCACGTGATTGCACACCAGTTGCTTTAAATAAATATGACGTGATACACAATAAAGCCCTCGTCTTGGCAACTACAGAAGAAGATCAAATACAGAAGAATTCATTAAAAAATGATCGCCTGGAAAGGAAGATCAATCTTCAAATGAAATATACGATTCAGTCATTTTACATTTTACAATGTTAAATAACTCATTAGAGATTTGACCAGATATTTAATCTGTAAATCGTTTAAAATTCAGGAATGTCATAACTTGCAAATGAGTTTAATCAATGTTTTCGTCGATAATGGCAAAATGAATGGTTTCATACCAAAGAATTTGGCACCAACTCTGTTTATTAAGGCCACATGGAAAGAAGAAGTTTCCGTTCTTGAGATATCATGCGTCAACGTTTGAGGTTTACAATTTACATGTAAAGTTACCCGTCCACTAGCAAAAGTACTTGTTCGACCTAAGACCCCAATGAGGCCTTAACATGTGATATAAAATGAAAATCTTTCCTTTTAATTTTATCATATTATATAACTCTGCACTAAATTTATTTTCTTTCAATAAAAATATCCAAATCCAAAAATGTTGCACGTTTATTATCTATATGAACGTTTTTTCTAATATTAAACATGGCTGATCATAAATCTCTTCATATACTTTATCAAAATTACTATTACTAATACCATTAGAGCATTAGGGTTACAAAGATCATCAATATATCTATAACACGTGATATGTAATATAACAATCTCGCCAGGTTCTGACGCAGTGTAAACACAACCACAACTTCTACACTCTGTTGGAGAAGCACGAGAACAAGCCCGCTGCGTACGGGTACAGTCTGGAAATGTACCTCACTTTTCCCATCCAACGGGTAGGTACGGTTATAAATTAGAACTTTCAAATCGTTCCTGGATCTAGTGAACATCCTGCATTATTTTAACTTCCTATTTTCCAGATTAAATGCATGATTTAAGCGACTGTCAGCTTATCAGCTATGTTGATACTTTGTTAAAGGTAGGCATGCCCAATGCCTGCGCTATTAGCGTAAATAATTTAAAGCCATTCGAACTCCAACTGGGTGTAAATAATTTTATGGGCGTCAACCATTCTCAAGAAATAGCATTAAATATTATTCTGTTCATTTTCAACCACTATTTTAATAAGGCTGATACCAGGTATTTAATGACTGTTTGAATTATTGCAATGGAAAGAAACTAGAAACCCTTTTGAGATCATATTCTAAATAAATAAACCGAGACTTTCATACGGAGGTCGTGTTTCTGAAGAATTTGAAGATCCTCTAACGGAATCAGGGTCGTCACCGTAGGTCTTTTTTGCTTCGGCGGTAGAATCACGATTGTTTAATACTGTAACACCCCAATTTAACGCGGAATTGAGGGGAAAAGGAAGATCCGAGGTAAATAGGGGTTAGTGGTAAATCGGGCCTTTGATTGTTCACATTATAGATGTTTGGGGGAAGGAAATGGCTGCGGTAAAACGGGGTTTGCAGTTAATCGGGGCGTGGTAAATCGGGGTTTGCAGTAAATCATGGCGTGGTAAATCGGGGTGTTACTGTATAATATGTGAAAAGATCTCACCTGTAGCTGTAGTGGGCCGGTGCGGGGGCCGGGGGGGGGGGGGGGGGGGGTAAACACAGCCCGAATAAATAAATTTTGGACTAGCCTCTAGATTTGGAAGTCTCAAATTTTATCATAATAATAATATACCATAGATCATATTCTGTAAGGTCTATGTCGTTGATACTTTAATAATGAATTTTTTATCACATTCTGTGATAAAAAGAGAGAGATAAAATTTTAGAAGATCAGTGAAACCGCTTCGATTATTACTTCGTTGACAATAAAATAGCAATAAAAAATAGAAACCGTTTTAAGTACGCTATGCAGTAACTTTTGATCAAGTTAATTATCAAGAAAATCACTCTTCTCATTAGTGTAAAAGGGTCGATCAAGCAGGATATGTTCCACATATCAAATGAATTGATATTTTGATATTTAAATATTCGCTACATGTATTCCGTGTTACAGTCTATTAAAAATTAAAAATCTTAGGACGCATGTTTTAATATGCATTTGGGATGTTTCGTTATCTTATCTTAGCATCCCTGTATCAAATTTCATAGCACTGTCATACTATCAGTCCTGGAGAAATGTTTGTGCACTGTGCAGCCATACTGCTGAGATTATTAGTAGTTCAAGATGTTGATTGTTGAATCTGGAGCACTGGAATTTCTTGAGCAAGCTTATCTAAATACCTAACATCCTTAAATTTATGTCTGTTGAACCTTGAGTAATTCTGAGTGATAATGCATTCTTTACCACTTTACCAGTAGCTGTAGAATTTCAATTTTTCAGATACCAGGCTATGTTACTCTGCTGAACCAGTTGCTGGCATTCACCCCACCTGACCATGTGGAGAGAGTAAAGTTCGAGGAAGCAAGATCTAAACTTCAGGAGCTATCTGTGGTAAGTTTTAGGAAGCAAGATCTAAACTTCAGGAGCTGTCTGTGGTAAGTTTTAGGAAGCAAGATCTAAACTTCAGGAGCTATCTGTGGTAAGTTTTAGGAAGCAAGATCTAAACTTCAGGAGCTATCTGTGGTAAGTTTTAGGAAGCAAGATCTAAACTTCAGGAGCTATCTGTGGTAAGATTTAGTTGGCAAGATACAAACTTCAGGAGCTATCTGTGGTAAGTTTTAGTAAGCAAGATCTAAACTTCAGGAGCTATCTGTGGTAAGTTTTAGGAAGCAAGATCTAAACTTCAGGAGCTATCTGTGGTAAGTTTTAGTAAGCAAGATCTAAACTTCAGGAGCTATTTGTGGTAAGTTTTAGGAAGCAAGATCTAAACTTTAGGAGCTATCTGTGGTAAGTTTTAGTTGGCAAGGTGCACACTTCGGGAACTTTCTGCGATAAGTTTGAGTTGGATGTTTAAGTTGGATTAACCTAAGCTTCAGAGTTCAGGACCTTCGCTGGTAAGTTTTAAGAGGACAAATCCAAACTTCAATAACTCCTGATGGTTCAAGGAGGTTTGATCCAAACATCTGGAGCTGTAACTCTTTATGATAAATTCAGGGAACCTCTTTCCAATTTTGGTAGGGTTACTTCAAGTATCCCAGCTAGTCCTTGACCTTGCTCTGAAGCTGCATTATGTAGAAACACTCCAGAACGTACATCCCTTCTTTATATTGCTGGTCTGCCGACATGGCGTACTCGTATGTCCACCCCACGTACTTCTGAAATAGAAATCTCTTAGACTTCAGAAATCTTATCAGACTTCAGAGTTCAAAAATAAGGTAACTTTCTTAGATCACCAGAGAAACTTGGACTGCAAAATATATGAACTAAAGTAGCACTCTGAATATGATGGCATTAGATCATCATGAACCATTTAAAAGTTGTAGAATATTTATATAACGCGTGCTGGATTATTTCATTCACAATATCGAGTCTAGACGGAAAGTGTTTCAAGGGTTTTTATTTAAGGTAGAGATCAGTATTAACTGTAGCACGCTGTAGACTAACTATAACTTGTATACTTTTATAGGGTGTCTAATATGTGGTGATATGCAGGTAATTTATACGACCAATAACCAATATGTACGGTTTCATCAAAGCACCAATAACAAAGAATGCGACCTGTTCATTATCTCCAGTGCAGTATAGATTCATTTTCTACCTGTTGTACTATGAATGTATATTATACTACAAGTATGGGTTCATACTATCAGCCCACCTGGCAGCGCTTGCAGTACACGTCTCGGACAATGTGTCTCCCAGTTCTCATGTCGGTAGTCCTGCTGTCGCCGCGCAGCACGTTTACCACATTGTTGAACAGGTACGCGCTCCCAGACATGCCGTGAAAGGATGTGGATACCAGGCTCCGTTTGTTTGTCAGGACAGTTGCGCAGCTTGCGCACGCGTACAGTCGCCGGCCTCCCGGGTGCTCCAGGAATAGCTTGCCCATCGTTGTGCGCAGGGTGCCGTGTTACCTGCGCCGTAGAACTGTGCACGTGTTTGCAGAAATTTCTGACACTTTGCACGTGTTAAAAATGAACTCAGCTTGCACGTGCAGTTGATAACACTCCTTTAAAATTGCACGTGGTGTCTGCGCACAGTGGGGCAGCGACACACTAAACGCGAACTACTGCGTCTTGTCAGGACCCTCTCATAGTCCCATTTTCCTACGTCAAATCATGGTTACCATGGTTGCAATAACAAGAATTATCGAATATACATTATAATAGATAATGTTCGAATCATTTTAGGAGTAAAAATTCAAACTACAACAGTCATTGTTATCGAACAATACAATACAACTAACAGCACCGATAATAAAGAAATAATGAGCTAACAGTAAGAATACCATGTCTACTACAAGTAGTACATACCAGCATACACAGCACTAGCTAGAGCAGTCAAATAACGACAAAGCTAGTAGCGGAGTAGCAGTAGAGTAGAGTAGTGTGCATTAGTGCTGCTGTACAACATTTAACGGCACAATACAACGTACAGTGTACAGTACGTGAGGGCTACTGCTGCTAGCTACTTTTCTCTCTCTCTCTCTCTCGCTCTCTCTCTCTCTCTCTCTCTCTCTCTCTCTCTCTCTCTCTCTCTCTCTCTCTCTCTCTCTCTCTCTCTCTCTCTCTCTCTCTCTCTCTCTCTCTCTCTCTCTCTCGCTCTCTCTCTCTCTCTCTCTCTCTCTCTCTCTTTCTCTCTCTCTCTCTCTCTCTCTCTCTCTCTCTCTCTCTCTCTCTCTCTCTCTCTCTCTCTCTCTCTCTCTCTCTCTCTCTCTCTCTTTCTCTCTCTCTCTCTCTCGCCCTCTGAGGATTCCCATTTTTGTAATCGAGCATTTCCTGGTTTAAATGCATTTTTCGGAAAAGCACAATTTGTTTTGTTGAGAGGCTATAAAATTGTAAGTCAATATCATTTCTTGTGATATCGAGCTGAAATGTTGCACGAAGTTTATTCATATCTTTTTCAAGATGTGTGTAAAATCTTGATATCGTATCTGAAAAGGCTGCATTTTTATAAATTTTTAAAGTCAAAAAGTGGTATTATTCTTTTTAGGCTTGTTTTGACCAAAAAGTCCGTCAAGGAACATCAGCTTGTTTTGACCAAAACGTCCGTCAAGGAATATCGGATTGTTTTGACCAAAAGTCCTAAAAAAAGTGTTAATTCAACTTGAAAGTTGATCTTTTGCACCTCAAAGTCAAACAACAAATTTATGCATATTATATTATATTATGAGTTATGAATAACAAAACACCCTAAAATGCTTCCTTTTAAAGTTAGGGTAGAAAATGTGACTGGAAATGCTCGAATCTCGATTACAAAAATGGGAATCCTCAAAAGGAATTTTTAAAATGTGGAAACGGTGCGCTAGATGGTTACTGAACTTCCTATGACACTTGTATAATAATAATAATAATAAGTATAGAGGAAGTATATATATATAAGTATAGAGGAAGTCGTAAAGAGAGAGGAGAATGCACTCACCACTTATGTGGTGAGAAGTAGAGACCCAGAACTGATTGCTCTGAAGGACTACTTTGTCAAAGACAAGATACTCTTGGGTGAAGAGATAGAGAAAGATATCGACCGAACACAACGCGAGGAAATCCGCAAGGAGAAGTGGACTGCTAAAGTGATGCACGGACAGTTCCCAAGGCAGATGGTGGGTATAGCGGACCCGTTAACCTCTTGGAACTGGCTCACTCAACAAGACTTGAAGAAGGAGACAGAAGGATTGTTGATAGCAGCCCAAGACCAAGCACTTAGGACGAATTATGTGAAGCACAGGATTGACAAAACACCTGGCTCTTCTCCCCTCTGCAGACTCTGCAGAAATCATTACGAGACAATAGACCACATACTGAATGGGTGCCCAAAACTTTCACAGACAGAATATAAGTGTCGGCATGACAAAGTAGCTGCCGCATTGCACTGGAGTCTGTGCAAGGAATACGGCTTCCCACGCAGTAAAAGGTGGTACGAACACCGGGCAGAGAAGGTGCTGGAGAACGAAAAAGTCAAGATATTGTGGGACTTCCATGTCCAGTCGGACCACGTTATCGAACACTGCAGACCGGATCTCCTCCTGATAGACAAGGTAACCAACGCAGCAACCATCATTGACGTTGCAGTCCCAGGAGATACCCGGATCCTGGATAGAGAACAAGAAAAGATACTGAAATATCAAGACCTAAAAAGAGAAATTAAGAAGAACTGGAATTTACGAAAGGTCACAATCGTCCCTGTGGTGATAGGCGCATTAGGAACTATCACCATTAACTTTCGTAAACACCTCGACGCAGTCCACTGCAATCTGAGCATCTCTAATCTCCAGAAGACAGCTCTGCTTGGATCAGCCAGAATTCTCAGGATGGTCTTAGACATATGATATTATTGAGAGTATAATACACTGTAGATACTCTATATTTAGTTTATTCTTCACTGGATACTGTAATAAACACTTTTTACCTGGTCCTCTTATATCTCTTCCCTTGCTATGCAAGCCCTGTCTCTTGTTTATACAATTTTTAACCCGTATATTGGGTAGACTGTGTATTTGTTACGTATTTCATATTATACAGTTTTGTGTACAAGTAATTATTGTTATTTACTGGACTAAGGGGTATACATGTGTTGGAGTTTTTCTCTTATTTTTCTTCTCTTGCTCTGCATGCCCTGTTTCTTGTATAAACATGATGTTTGTTTAAATATTGTATATTCTTGTATTGATTGTGGTATTTTGTGGGTCAGATTCAGCAATACCCAATGGGTACTTGCTGAATCACTGTTTTCTACACTCTGTAGCCAGTCCCTGTGTTCCGTCCCTTGCCCTGCAAGCCCTGTTTCTTGATTATACAGCATTTATTTATCGTGTATTACATTGTAGTATGTAATAAACATTTGTAGTAGTGTAGGATTGTTTGAATTTCTTTTTGCTAGGTTTTATAATATTTATTTGTATAATTTGTGATTGTTTCTCCCGGTTTTCTTCCCTTGCGTAGCAAGCCCTGTCTCTTGTAAAAACAACCTCGAAAGATTTGTAGATACACATAGTCTCTACACCTTTACCCTCTGGTCCCTAGGGTCAGCTGATCCCGGGCCAGAGGAAAACTACCGACTGCCAAGGTTTGACGCCTAGGCAGTCGAGACCTCTTATTGAGACCCTTTATAATAATAAAGTCACGGTTTTCGGGTTGTGTTTTGGCCGGAAATGGAGTTAGCTGTGTAAGTTGGGATGTGCTATAATTATCCGTGTTACATATCAGTTGCATGACTAATTTAAAATGGAAATTGGATCGATAATCCGGAAATATCGCTGGTACAATTCATTGACAGCGCACTATGCAGTTATCACTGCTCATACGACGATTGGAATATTACTAACTTTTAATATAGTAGAATAAGCTGCCTCCTTTCTGAAATTATATAGAGCGAGAAATTAAATTCCGGTTCAGTTATTAGAATGATTTACTCTCTGAAATTTAAATACATACGATAAATGAAAGTAGTTAATTTATTAGAACAGCACAAGTATAAGAACTAAGCACAAATGTCGCTAGTAGATAAATGGATATTATATAAGTAATGAAGACAGCAGCTGGAGAGCTGTAAGCCTGTACAGTGACACACAACACTACATTTTGTATACGTATAACGCTACAACACACCTTGTATTATAATAACCTGCTCTCTCTCTCTCTCTCTCTCTCTCTCTCTCTCTCTCTCTCTCTCTCTCTCTCTCTCTCTCTCTCTCTCTCTCTCTCTCTCTCTCTCTCTCTCTCTCTCTCTCTCTCTCTCTCTCTCTCTCTCTCCCTCTCTCTCTCTCTCGCCCTCTCTCTCTCTCGCCCTCTCTTTCTCTCTCTGTAGAGATCTAATTCATCTGTGTGCCAGTGTAATTACGCTTTGAGGTGAACTTTAGATAAAACTCTTAAACCTGTATCAAATGTCACGGTTTACGGGTTGTGTTTTCACCGGAAATGAAGTAATATATATTATATAATAATAATAATAGCTGTGTAAGTGAAATGTACAAGTCGCAACTACTTGAGTACTACTGAGAGTCGGTCGGTCGGTCGGTCGGTCGGTCGGTCGGTCGGTCGGTCGGTCGGTCAGTCGGTCGGTCGGTCGGTCGGTCGGTCGGTCGGTCGGTCGGTCGGTCGGTCGGTCGGTCGGTCGGTCGGTCGGTCGGTCGGTCGGTCGGTCGGTCGGTCTGTCGGTCTGTCGGTCTGTCGGTCTGTCGGTCTGTCTGTCTGTCAATAATTCAGGAAGTTATAGTCGATTGTCCAGCCAGAAAGGAGAACTGTTATTACTTTATTAAGTTATTAGTAGTGAATGGTCAGTATACCTCTAATACTCGGCTAGCTGTTGCCACTCTATCCCTTCTCGCAGACATACAAGTTTCTCTGAGTCACGTTCTCCCCACTACTCATATACTATTGATCGTAGTGTTTGAAAGTAGTGAGTTACATAAGCATTTGTTCAATACAATACCAGTTACGGACAAGTGCAGTGAGTGCACGCGTAACAGCAACACTACAGCTACTACTCACTACAACAGAAAGGAAGGTAGAAATAATTAAATTCTCCCGGTGAAGGAAGGAAGGGAGGCTTTGCCACCAGTCAAAGTGATAAAGTGACAGTTGCCAAATTATTACAGGGCGAAGAAATTGTAGTACAGTGCTAGTTCTACCGCAGGCTACAAATCGGTCACGTATTAGAGTATTAGCTGGAACATCATGCGCATTATAAAGAACACATTAAATCTGTAGTTTAGTAGATCCATTATCTCTTCGAAATGTTAATAAGAAATTTAAGACCTTTCTGATGATTAAACTGTATATTATACAAATTAGAGTAAATTACCAAAAATAGGCACAGTTGTCTCGCGAGTATTGGAAGATAATTGTAACGGATTTGTAATTTACAAACTTACTAATGCGGAACGCATGATCTTGTATAAAGAAACGAGAACCAAAAATAACAAAACAAACTGTAGAACGCATAAAACCACACTCATCATAACTACACGCCAAATATTATGTAACGTAATAGCCGTAATAAGTAAATATCCACTAACATCACCTACCTATGTCATGGCAAATATCAAATTTCTTCCTCCTTAATAGGTAAGTTCCCGTAACTGTGATTACTAGGAAATTTAAAGTTACCAACACTCAACAGTCCACATAAACACTACGAGATAATAGATGATAATATACTAATATACTAATACTAATATACTAATACTGCTTTATTTAGTCCACTAAAATACAAACATGTACAACCTTAAGGTTGTAGTAGTTACGTACGTGACATTGTGTTACTCCTGATGTAGTGCAATGGAGCCATTGTACAGTGTACAGATGACCATCTCACCCGACTGTTATACCGATATAAATATAGATTATAGATAATGCATGATTATCATAGATATAACTAATATTAATATAAATAGCGGTATAGAGCTATAAAATTAAGTGTACTGTGAAGGATGTGGTTACTGTATACAGTACTGTTATCAAGTTAAATAATTATGTGGTTACTGAACTTATTATACACATTGTAGTTCATACAACATAATAGCATATAATATTGTGACGTTAAGGCTTTGTTGAATCCAGGGATGTACTAGTATAATATGAGGCATTGTCAGCTGGGTGGTATTATATTCAATGAGCAGAATCAGTATCACTACTACTACTACAGGGATCAAATAATCGTAATCTCTGCAAACGTAGAATAAAACGTAAAATTAAACGTAAAATGAAAAGTTTTTTTGCTGCATAATTCAACTGTAAAAAGAGAAGATGTACGTGATATGACAAAAGAAATTACAGAGAGAAACTCGAGGATGGTATATCTGGCAGTCATCTCGTTTACCGAATTATTGTCAAGGCAATGTTGCCACGTTTTAGTGTAGTAATTGGCAGTGCTAATGAAGCGAGTTTATTAATTAATTGATAATTGTACTATGATGCTGGTTCTGCACTCTCGGAATTAAGCTAACTATAAATTACAAGTGTAATATAATATTAAATTATCAAATTAAGTCATTGAAACTGTCTAGATCACCTAGATAAAAGGGTTTTTGCAAGTGGATACATTTTAGGGGGTCACAGCCAGAGACAGCAAAGAGCCAAGATCTTAATCTTACTCGTGTAAAACTACTCTCCTTAAATGTCACAGCGTTATTCTGTCCTCTGTATCTAGTATTTATTAATTAATCATTAGTATTTATTAATTAATTGTTGGTATTTATTAATTAATCATTGTTAATTGGACTATTATTCACAGCTTCCTGCTTCATCATCAATATTAGCAGTAATGGAATCGCTCATTGAAACACGTGGCCAAAATTGTCAAGATCCTGTGATTATAAATTACCCATTTTGACAGTCAAACCAAACCGATCAATTATTTTAATTGATAAATAATTAATTGATTCAATTGATTCAATAACGATCCCGTTACACCAAACGAGATGAGTTTCGTGAGATTGCTCAAGAATCCTGGATAATTTTAAAAGTTTCTGTCTCTAAGTGTGGCTGTCATTGGTCCTTAGATGTCACGTGTACAACTGGTAGTCTGGGTGTCACGTGTACAACTGGTAGTCTGGGTGTCACGTGTACAACTGGTAGTCTGGGTGTCACGTGTACAACTGGTAGTCTGCTTTGATCTAATTGTACCCAGACTCAAGACTGTACTCTACATATTAACTTGCAAGTGCCTCGACAAATTCAACCACCATTATTATATAATAGATTTTTATTGTTTCCTGTTATGAACTAAAATAGAACTGCTCCTGTGTGAAATAAAACCAAGTAAAACCCTCTGTCGCCATTGAAAATGACTTGTCAACATACTATTCAAAATATATTTTAAAAAAATTAAAACATATTAAAATGTGTTTAAAATGTGTTAAAATATGTGATTCAGACTCGTTACAACCACGTAAGCAAGTTAAACCTCACACTGGCACCCCAGGTAATCTACGAGCAGACAAGCGACAGTGAGAGCATGTACAAGACCTTGTCAATAGAGAAGATGATAAGCGGGGGGTGTCACGTGCTGTTTGATACCAACCAACACTTCGTCCGTCAGGGCATGTTGAGACTAGCTGCTGTGAGCAGTAAGAATACTGTGAGAAAGGACGTGAAACTGGGACCTAAACACTGCTTTTTGTTTACTAATCACATGTTGATTACAGAGCGTATTGGTGAACAACTCAGCGTTAACAAGGTTCGTGTTATGAGGATAATAAAATGTTGGATAATAATACATGTATTATTATTATGCTAGTAATACATTATATATTATGCTAATAATACATATATTATGCTAATAATATATATTATATTATGCTAATAATACATATTATATTATGCTAATTATAATACATTATATATTATGCTAATAATACATGTATTGGTACCGCGACAATTGACCCCCCGACAATTGACCCCCCGACAATTGACCCCCCGACAATTGACCCCCGACAATTGACCCCTATGTAATTACACTGGGGTCAATTGTCGCGAAATCTAGGGTTTAGTACGACAATTGACCCCCCGACAATTGACCCCCCGACAATTGTAATTAATTAAACTGGGGTAAATTAATCGGGTTAGGGGTTGGGGTTGGGGTTGGGGTTGGGGTTGGGGTTGGGGTTGGGGTTGGGGTTGGGGTTGGGGTTGGGGTTGGGGTTGGGGTTGGGGTTGGGGTTGGGGTTGGGGTTGGGGTTGGGGTTGGGGTTGGGGTTGGGGTTGGGGTTAGGGTTCGGGTTCGGGTTCGGGTTCGGTTTGGGGTTGGGGTTGGGGGTTGGGGTTGGGGTTGGGGTCAATTGTATTCAATTATATTTTCGGGGGGTCAATTGTCGGGGGGTCAATTGTCGCCCACCCCATGTATTATGTTAGTTAATAATTGTTGTCTGGCTGATCGTTTATTTTGTGTTAGGACGACAGATATGTTTAGTGTTATTTAGTATGTATAATGATAGAGTTGTGTTAGTACAGAGGGGGGGGTGTCACGTCCGTCTATGTCCGCTTGTCTCATAGAATCCAAAAAGGACAGGACATAGGCGGACATAGGCGGACATAGGCGGACATAGACGGACATAGGCGGACATAGGCGGACATAGACGGACATAGGCGGACATAGGCGGACATTAATGGACACCTAAATTGCTAAATAAAATGTTCAATTTTTGCTGTTATAGGGGGATCATGTTTTTTGTCCGTTTGGTACCTTATATTTTCAAAACGGACAAAAAATAGAGCGGACAAAAACGGACAAAAATGGAAATAACATTTAGATGCTTCCTCCTCCTACTCTTCCTCCTCCTCCCCTGGGTCTTCCTGATCTTCCTCAGTCCTCTTCCTCCTCCCCTCCTCAGTCCTCTTCCTACTCCTCCTCCTCGTCCTCAGTCCTCCTCATCAGTCCTCAACAGTCCTCCTCCTCCCTAGTCCTCCTCCTCCTCCTGAGTCCTCCTCCTGGGTCCTCCTCCTGGGTCCTTCTCCTCTTCATCCTCCTCCTCTTCCTCCTCAGTCCTCCTCAGTCCTCCTCCTCATCCTTCTCCTCAGTCCTCCATCCTCCTCCTCAGTCCTCCCCCAGTTCCCCTCCTCCTCCTATTCAGTCCTCCTCCTCCTCCTCCTCCTTCTCAGTCCTCCTCAGTCCTCCTCCTCCTCCTCCTCCTCCTCTTCCCTCTCAGTCATCCTCCTCAGCCATCCTCCTCAGTCCTCCTCAGTCCTCCTCCTCAGTCCTCCTCCTCCTGGGTCCTCCTCCTCATCCTTCTCATCAGTCCTCCTCCTCCCCAGTCGTCTCCCAGTCCCCCTCCTTCTCCTCCTCCTATTCAGTCCTCCTCCTCCTCCTCCTCAGTTCTCCTCAGTCCTCCTTCTCATTTCTCCTAAGTCCTCCTCCTGAGTCTTCCTCCTGAGTCCTCCTCCTCTTCCTTCTGAGTCCTCCTCCTGAGTCCTCCTCCTCCTCCCTCTCAGTCATCCTCCTCAGTCATCCTCCTCAGCCATCCTCCCCAGCCATCCTCCTCAGCCATCCTCCTCAGTACTCCTCAGTCCTCCTCCTTCTCAGTCATCTTCAGTCCTCCTCCTCAGTCCTCCTCCTCCTCCTGGGTCCTCCTCCTCCTCCTCCTCCTGGGTCCTCTGGGTCTTCCTGATCCTCCCCAGTCCTCTTCCTCCTCCCCTCCTCAGTCCTTCTCCTACTCTTCCTCCTCGTCCTCAGTCCTCCTCATCAGTCCTCAACAGTTCTCCTCCTCCCCAGTCCTCCTCCTCCTCCTCCTGGGGCCTTTTCCTGGGTCCTCCTCCTGGGTCCTCCTCCTCCTGGGTCCTCCTTCTCCTCCTCAGTCCTTCTCCTCCTCCTCCTAGGTCCTCCTTCTGGGTCCTCCTCCTCCTCCTCCTCCTGGGTCTTCCTGATCCTCCTCCTCCCTCTCAGTCATCCTACTCAGTCATCCTCCTCAGTTATCCTCCTCAGTCATCCTCCTCAGCCATCCTCCTCAGCCATCCTCCTCAGTACTCTTCAGTACTCAACAGTCCTCCACCTTCTCAGTCCTCCTCAGTCCTCCTCCTGAGTCCTCCTCCTCCTGAGTCATCCTCCTGGGTCCTCCTCCTGGGTCTTCCTGAGTCCTCTTCAGTCCTCTTCCTCAGTTCTCCTCCTCCTCGTCCTCAGTCCTCCTCATCAGTCCTCAACAGTCCTCCTCCTCCCCAGTCCTCCTCCTCCTCCTCCTCCTGGGGCCTTTTCCTGGGTCCCTATATAATTTGATAAAATAAGTTAAAGCTATTAATAGCTTTAGTGTGATTAATATAAGTTATATTCCCTATATTTCGTTAAATAGGTACTGTGCCTACTGTGTACCCTGTGTAACTGTTTCAAAGATATGTTGACGACACAAATAGATCTGGATTTAGCGACCGGATTTGGTGACTGGATTTAATTAAATATTGGGAATATTTGTGAGATCTTTATTCTTTAGACCTCTTATATGTCCGCTAATGTCCACCAATGTCCGTCCGAGTCCGCAAATGTCCGCCCGAGTCCGCCAATGTCCGTCCGAGTCCGCCAATGTCCGTCCGAGTCCGCCAATGTCCGTCCGTGTCCGCCAATGTCCGTCCGTGTCCGCCAATGTCCGTCCGTGTCCGCCAATGTCCCAAAAAACACGTCCGTTGTCTCATAGAATCCAAAAAGGACAGGACATAGGCGGACATAGACGGACGTGACACCCCCCCCCCCCCCCCCCCCCCCCCCCCCCTACAGAATATATACTAGCTATTGGTAAACACAGTTTAAATTTTGATCCGGTAAAAACAAACTCCCTCGTTGTTGAATGAAACACTGACAGTTCAAGGGTAGGTTAATTTAGTGGAGTTAGTGAATTAGTCTGTGAGACCGCCAGACGGTCGCAGATTCATGATCTCAGGCTGTAAAACTTTACTCTTTAAAACTGTCGATATGTCTGGCATTTAACATTTCTCTGAGTGCATTTCAGATGAGGATGAGAGAGGAGATAATATATCTTCTCTCCGAGATATCCCATCATTCAAACTTATTCACCGCGATTTTGCAATGGCGATTTCAGACGCAGGCCCACAACTTTGTTGCCACAAAATAAGATGAAAGATAACCTGAAGCTGGTCCCTGTGATCCAACACGCTGTCTGCAACAACACATGTGTTACTATGTCACTGTGTCAGACTAAGAGACATAGTATCTCCCCAGTAGTACTTGTAGGGCCTTGTTACTGATCTATCAACACGCACGTGCCGGGAGAACTGATAGCTGATACTCGCGAGGCCGTGTTAGCTGTAACATTCATATTATATTATATTCGTGGTTTGGTAGTTTGTGGTAGTGATTTAATCTCTTCCCCTTGGCATGCAGTCAGTGTATGTTGGGTTCCTGGTTTCGCTTTTTTCTAGCTTCACAATTGATGGCTCTACCGTTATTGTAGATTGTGAAGTAGCATTTTTGTTGGTATGGCAATAATTTGTCGGTGGTATGACTATGACGACAATTTCCATAAAATGGATAAATATAACGCGCTATTAGATGTGTTTGTAATGACGTTGGATCTTTTATTGTCGTTCGCGTTAATTGGTGCATCAATCTATAGTTCCCGATTATAAAGGCAAAATCATTTTTAGTTTCTTTTTCGGATTGCGGTGGTATCCAACTGTCTGTAAAGGTTTCCTATTTATATTAGTTGATGTCTGTCCTATTTTATAAAAAAAATCATCAATAAAAAGAGAAATATTATCATTATATTATTAACCTGCTAGATTGCCCCTTTTAAAACGGAATAGTGAACCTCTATACCACTTCATATTTCAGGAGTACGGATTAGTTGCACTTAACCACTGTATACTAATCGAAGAGTTCTGTGAAGAAGACACCCCGGACAGAACCCACCAAGAAGTTGGTTTCAGGATGACCCTCCTCGACTCCTCCCCCGACCCCAGAACCATCACCCTCGTAGCTGAATGCCCCAGAGACAAAGCGTCGTGGACTGTTGATATCAGCCAGGTAAATCGGCGATTTAATATTCCGAAAAGCATTTCAATAATTTATTTTATTTATTGGGATTATGCCTTTTAGGCTCATATTCATTATTCATTGTAGTGCTTTAAAATATGTAGTTTGGAGTTTGTTGAATATCTACTTAGTTACTTAACCACGTATTTCAGACAAATCACTTCAATAACTGCTTGAACAAATTAAGTTTGTTGAGCTGCAGAGAAGATTCCCTCGATCTTTATATAAATTGTCGTAGGTTTCAAATGTTTGGGTGTGCCTCTCTATTATATTAGTTCTCTCTGTATTATACTATAAATAGAAATTCTCTGTATTATAGTGCCTTGTAGCAAAATAGTCGAATGTGTCTTGTTTCTTGAATCTTGTTACTCGAAGTTTTTGTGAAAAACGGTTTCTCAAGACACGCACTTACGAAATGTTAGATTCATGTTTTACTTTTTCTGTCATACATTAAGGAAGCGTCCCAGTCGAACTACAAAGGAATGGAGCCTGTTCATTTTTCAACTATTGCCGAACGTTTTTTGCACCATTCGGCGTTATCCGGACTGTCGGATGGTTTCCAAAATTTGCGAACCTTTTGGCATCATTCTGCATAATTTTTGTCGGATCAATATTGGGAGGATTTTTACTCCTTTTTTCATGTGGGTTATTCTGGATCACATCTTGAATTGTCAAGAAACTCCGTATGAAATATTGAACGTTCTTTGTTGTCTTAAACTGAACAATTCCGCACATTTTGCAAAAAATCAGCATTTATGCTCCAATATTCGTTAAACTTACCGCACTAGTGATGCCTATAATGCAGGATCGCACTATTCGCGAAATTTTGCCGCACTTATATGTCGTCCCCGACAGTATGCAATACCACTTTCAATATTTAACACCTTTACTTCATTACTTGTTCCTAACTGTCTGCTCTTATTTGTTTACATGTTATTAAACCCATGGCCATTGTTAACAACAACAACAACAACAACCCACACCGTGTATTATAAGTGAGCTCTTCAAAGATCTGCCCCCACAAAAACATCTCAAATCTCGTTAGTTAATTAGCCATGTCAGGTGTAAAGCCGACCAGCCACCCCATAATGATCACGTTTTATATGTACTACGGTGATTAAATTGCGGACCTCTCCGCCACCCTCAGACTTCTCGCTCGTACCCCTAAAAAGTAAAACAATCATCCCAATCTGGGTATAATCACTTGCTTGTCTCCTCCAAAGCTCCAATCTCATAGATCGAAGTGCCGTAGTACGCAGTTTTTTAAAGATTTGGGGGACCCGCTGCTCCACCACTTGATGAAATAGAGCTGTTACGTTATAAATACTGTCCTATATATTTTATATTGCTCTTTAGAGATTGATGCTAACTTGGTGTGATCATTGATGAATTGTACATGCTAAGATGTTATGGCTCATAGTGAAACTTTCCTTTGTTTGGAAAATGCCCACAATCTTGACAGTGTTGATTTCGAAAAGCTCCTCTGTTTGGGCTTCTTGCAGATAGTCTCCCCGCCAACCTCTCCCTTTTTGGAGGAACAAGTATGGATTTGAACATTTGTTTCCCTTTTTTAATTTCTCCCTTTGTTTCTTTTATTTCTCCTTTGTAATTTTCAGTGTCTTGAAATTTGTAAATGGATTTAGTGCCTGTAATATCACTGAGCACATATTGGCACTTGATGTCAGTTCCTCTATGATATAATGGCACTGATCGGACCTTACAGTTTACAAGTCTTCATTCCACTACTAGCACTAACCGGTGACCACCACTAAAAACCTGTGTAATCTCTCCTCTCCTTGCCTTTGACTGAAACCCGACATGTTATATTCTTATCCTTAGTGTGCCGACCGTAACATCGTGTACCCCTCCTCCTTCAAAGCCCACCAAGCTGCTTCTTAAACAGTCGCCGTCAAGCACACAATCACCCTCACATGTTGATATTTCTCTTCCAAATCAAACCGGAAACTATTTCATCCTCAAAATGTCATCCTCAATTATCTGGGTTAACCTCTCTGCTATGAAATTAAGTTTAACATCCTGCTCATTTCAGTGTATCGAGAATCTTCAGAGTGAGACCTCCTCTCACAGTTGTTATGGACGATCTTCACTTAGCAACGACCCCAGGTACGAACCACATTATACTATGTTAGGAGACAACACTTTATATGGTACCTCATTGTTTTCAAGTGTTTTTCAAATGTAGGTAAGTCTGAAGAGGGTATTCTAGAGAAAAGGTGGAACTATTTTGGAACATCATAATTGATGATAAATTATTGCTCATGGTAAATCTAGATGGAGTATTTATACTAATAATCTCAATAAATGTGTATGTCTGTCTGTCTGTGTGTATGTCTGTATGTCTGTTTGTCTGTAATTTACGAACGGTTTAATCAAGAAAACGGTAAGAGATACGGGACTGGTTTTTTCGGTATAGTGCCGAAAAAACTCTGACAATCCAAATGATTAAGGACACGTTTTTTTTAAAGTGTGGTGAGTTGCTGATTTCACCTTTTTCAAAGTAGAGTGCACAAAATGAGGAAAAAGTCGCAATGCTTTGTAAAGTGCAACCATACATTTGTACATAGGATGAAGTGAAAATATTCAGCAGTTGTGATTTGAAAAAACGAAGTGCCAGGCTCAAGCAGAATATGACTTATGAGCAATTAAACTGAGTGCCAAAAATCAGCAAACCATTTTAACCTCCTATTGACTAATTCCATTGATTTCGCCATATAGTTAGGGCAAGAGTTGATTTTTCTGTGAACAAATTCGTAACAAAGGTTTGTCTACTGGAATGTGTTGTCCATAGTCCCAGGAACCACCAAAAAAAACCGTCCAGCTGAAACTTTTGGGCAAAAATTTTTATAGTCATTTTTCTCCAGGAACCCATACGCCCCACCCCTAATATTGGTTATTCGGCTCCCGAAGGTCTTGAGATCTCCATAGGGGGTGCAAAATGACCGCAATGGCCACATTATGGCAGGCGAATGATAGTTTCAGAACGATTGGGGCTTTATTTTTCGAAATAAATGGAATTTTTCGAAATTTTATTGAAATTTCGAAAAAAATACACCAAATTATTTTTAACGCTTATTTCAAATCTTACTCGGGAAATAACTTCAATTAACAAATATCAAGGTTAACTAACAAACAAAAAATTATTGACCAACCCCCAGACAGCTATTCGACGGTACATACTACTCTGGTTGAATGTCTTAAGTTATCCTATAACAGTGAGCCGATGATAATCACATTCGATTTGCCATTGTGGATTAAGGCCACCCGAATAGTACTGGAAACTGGGATGCCTATTGTGGTCAGGGTTGGGGGCTTCCGCACTCTCACGAGTTTTCTTGGCTGCATAGGCTATATAATGGCAGACTCGGGTTTAGAGGAGCTCATCAAACTCGTGTATCCTGGAGACGTCACGCATATATCGGATGGAGGATCTTACTATAAAGCGTTGAGAGCCCACTTTCTGATCGACGCCGCTCTTTGTTGTTTCATTATAGAGGAAGAATTTTACGACGATGAACTAGTAGACTTGGAAGGTTACATCAACAAATGTGTGAACGAAAATCTAGGTGTTAACTTTAAGACTAAATCTATTCAGGATCTATCAGAGAAAATAACTCTGCTTCTAAAGAACCTGTTTTCCAACAGTAGAACAGCAGCTCTATGGGTTACTTACCACAACATGATAACACTAGTAAAGGACTTCATAAGAGCAGAGAGGTTGCACGACTACAATATGCACTTATCAGCAGTAGCTTTGATGCTGCCCTACTTCGCAGCAGCTGGGAGGGGGCAGTATGCAAAAGCTTTAAGACTGTATATTTGGAGCAGGATGCTATTTATAAAGTCAAGTATGGGGCGCTTTTAAAGACCTTTAAAGTAACTGGGCTTCACACGGTTTGTTACAACGACCACGAGTGGGCCGGGGTGTGGACTGACCTCTCCATAGAGCAGAGTCTTATGAGGGCAGCTAAATCTAGTGGTGGATTAACAAGTGGAAGGATGCGTAATCGTGAGTCCGCTCACAAGTTATGGGTGGCCACCCTGAATCAGATGGCTTTAATAAATCAGTCTTTTGGAGATTCATTAGCTAATTCATCGAAGCGAGGAGTACCAACTAAAGCTGCCATCCACTCAGATCTTACCAAGTCATCAATCAAGAAAAACTGTGATGTATTTGGAAAATTATTAACTTGGTTTAAAGTCACTGTCGACTTTACAGAATCCGAAGATAAGACTAAGTTAATATCTTTTTCAACTGGTCTTATATCACAGCCTGGGAACGATGAGGTGAATCCCGAGGAATGTTTGGCCGTTGGGGCTGTCCTTCAACGTGAGCTAGATGGGTTGACATTCATCGATAAGATAAGTATCAAAGGTAAAGCAAAGAACTTGACACAACTAAGAAAGCAGGTTAAAGTGAATAATAAAAGCGTTGCAGTCGATCCGTTGAAGTGTTTTAACCGTCTAGTCTTGGTTGCTGATAGAGAGACTTCAATAGAGGAATGCCTAACATACGAGTTAACTGTGGTGCCGATGAGCTTATTTGATCAATATCAGATGATGATTGATGAGGAAATCTAATAAGGCTGCTCTTGGTATAAACCAATCTACACTTAAATCTTGCAGCTTCACGATCCCACTAGTCATTGATGGAGGTTGGCTAATTCACCAACTAAGCTCATTTAAAGGGTGTGACAATTATGGTGAGGTAGCAATGGAGTACTTGAAGCTTATCCCTAAAAATCGGGAAGTTACTGTGATTTTTGATGGATATGAGCCTTCTACTAAAGATCACGAGCACAAGAGGAGAGTAAAAGCGTTCTGTGCTAATATTGCTGTAAAGAAATCCACCTTTTGTACTGTCACCAAAACAACATTTCTGAGCAACAACAATAACAAAAAAGAACTGATCGACCCTATCTCAAGCATTTTTACTGTAAATGGTATTGAAGTGATCAAAGCTTGTACCGATGCTGATACTTTAATTGCAAAGAAAACATTGGAAATGTCATTCCTTGGCGATATTGAATTGAACGCAGAGGATACCGATATAGTTCAAGTCTATTAGTACATCATTTCAACAGTGACCATCACAATGATATTTATCTAACAACGGAGAAGGGTACATATTCAATCAAAGAAATATCAAGTCATCTAGATCATAAAGAAAAGGAGATACTTCTTCTAATTCATAGTATTTCGGGTTGTGATAGCGTCAGTGGACTGTTTGGTTTTAGCAAGGTTAAAGTGCTAAAGAAAGCTCTCACCTTTGATGAGCAAGGTCAGTTGGCAACATAACTTCCGGTGAGAGAGTCAAAAGAAAAGATTATTGAGGCAGGCCTCTTTTTCTTGCAGTACATTTATGGTGACAAGAAAAAGACTCTTTCTGCTTTGAGATTCCTAGCATACAATAGGATGGTAGCGAAAAAGAGTCTCAATCCGAATAGGCTACCTCCAACAATAGCTTCAGCAACGAAACACATCCTTAGAGCTTACTTACAGTACCATAACTGGTCATGCTTAACGCTGACAGTCTGAATCCCCTTGACTACGGCTGGAAATTGGCTCCTGGTGGCACTTACGAACCAGTTGCAACAAAAGCTGTAATTGCTCCAGAGTCTATTTTGAACCTTATATGTTGTAACTGTTCTGTCGATGTGGAACAGGCCTGTTTGACTTTCAGATGTTCATGTAGGAAATATGGCTTCAATTGTTTGCCAGCTTGTGGACGATGCCATGGTATGAACTGCACAAACATTAGACATGATGAACCTGAAGAACAAGCGAATTTTGATTAATATTAACTGTGTATTAATAATTGTCATGGTATTTACTGAGAATACACATTTTAGATTAACTGTATTTGTTATTTGTAGATGAGTTTTTAAATAGATTTGAAATAAGCGTTAAAAATAATTTGGTGTATTTTTTTTTCGAAATTTCAATAAAATTTTGAAAAATTTCGAAACATTCCATTTATTTCGAAAAATAAAGCTCCAATCGTTCTGAAACTATCATTCGCCTGCCATAATGTGGCCATTGCGGTCATTTTGCACCCCCTATGGAGATCTCAAGACCTTCGGGAGCCGAATAACCAATATTAGGGGTGGGGCGTATGGGTTCCTGGAGAAAAATGACTATAAAAATTTTTGCCCAAAAGTTTCAGCTGGACGGTTTTTTTTGGTGGTTCCTGGGACTATGGACAACACATTCCTGTAGACAAACCTTTGTTACGAATTTGTTCACAGATTGACCCATAAACAGCAATTCTTGCCCTAACTAATATGTTGCTCAAATATTGTTCACATAACACTAGTAGATTGGAGCGAGTAACTGTTTTCAGCATTTAAGTCATTATTAGCAATTCCAGTAAGTGACAGAATCCAGCAAAAAGTCATTTTTATATCTGAATACGACTGCTCTATTGATGGTTCTTGTCAAAATATTAAAAAGATCAAGGCGTGACTGTGCTATTTTCTGAATAAGATAATGTTTGGTTGTGTCTTTAAACTTATTCTTACATGTCTATGTGCGAGCCATCAGCAAAAAGTCACACATGTATCAGCTTTAAATTTATCTTTTTTTAATTGATGAAATAAGTATCGAAATTTTAGTTCTCTTTTTCAGTCACCTTATTGACTTTTAGATTGAAGGTGCCATTAATCAGTTAAAAGACGGCTTGAACTCTGTACTGCTTACACTCAATTATGTCCCGAGTGCCCAAATTCAGCATATCAGTCATATAGATAAATGATGTAAAAAGACAAAAATTGTCTTTTTCTTGATCCATGGGTGTACAAGTGTTAGTTTAAGCATCTATTTCGAAAAGTAATGTGTTCATAAAGGGGTCAAAAACAGATAATAATATTAGAGTGCCACTAATCAGCTGTAGTGACTGCTGCAGCCAGCGTGGGAATTACCAACTATTTTAAGTCAATATCAGCATTATCAATCATCTCAAACCACCAAATTGTTTATGTTGCAGATACGAATCTTAGTTTAGTTATATCCTGAAAATTTAAACAACAAATGTGTCCTGAAAATCAGTAAAAAGTGACTTATTTGACAGAAATAGTCATTCTTACTGCTAAATGGCACTCCTTTTAGTTCAGAATATTGTTTGAGGGAGCGGTGTGCCTTTTTTGTTTAATGTGGCACAATTTTGTTGCACTGTGTGCCATTATTCAGCTTAAAATGACGTCTTTTTCTAGGCATATACCAATGGTAAATCACATAAAATGTGTGCTTTGTAAGCAGTGTTGTGATAACCTGCTATAACTAACTTAAAACTGGCACAATGAACTTCAAACATCAATAGTATGTCCCAAATTTCCATGATGAACATGATATTGTTGTCAGAAATCTACTTTATCGTGCCAATAATCAGCAAAAAGTCATTTCTATGAAGATTTTAAGCTAAAAATATTATTTATAAAATGACTTTTTGCTGAATTAGAACACACAATATCGTTAGATTTTGTAAAGAATCATCTTGATGAACCTGCTTATGCTGTCAGACATCAATTGTATAGTGCCAATATTCAGCAAAGAGTCATTTCTTTCGAATTTTTAATCGTGATGAATTTGACCTAAAAATGACTTTTTACTGAAAACTGACACACTCTTAAGTTGATTTTCGAACAGAATGCTGTTGAGCAGACTTAATCTCGACAGTACGATTGAAAAACGTTCTAATTTGTTGCTGTCTAGCTACTGCAATGTAAAAAAACTCAATTGTAATATTGTGAGTGAATTTTTACTGAATACAGGCACACAATAGGTTTTTCCTAGGTTACATTATTACAGACCAACGTTTCTTGAAAGTTGTTACAGTTCATTCACAAGCTGATCGAAAGTATGGGCCTTGTACAACCCCTTCAACCAAACTAGAAATTTTACCAAACAATTGACTTTTTGCTTATTTTGAGCACAGTTCAAGTATTCCTACCCCAATCCAAATATTCTTTGAATAATTCTGAGACATAATCTGAATTTTGAACAGAAAAGTCGCAAAATTCAGTTTTTTACGGGCGTTTTAAACATTATAGTCCAAAATGCTGAAAACTGGCACTACCTTGGTACTATATTATGACATATTAACTAACTAATGGATTTTCCTTACAGGGGCAGTTAAGATTGAAGGCATTTCTGTGCAACACTTTCTAGTTACTAGTCATTTTACTTTCATTGTCAAAAGTGTCATGGCACTCAAAGTCATTTTCACCACACTTAAAATGTGATACTAATTACTAAAGTGTCTCATTTACTCTCGCTCTCTCGCTATCTCTCCCCTTATAACAGATAAATGCTATATAATTAAGTAATTTGGCAGGGGACCTCAAGATTGCCTATCAAGTATTACTATTAGATACGTGAGGGGCATTCAGAATTAAATTGTGGTGTGTTTGGACTGAGCGAGTTCATACTTTCGCATAGTTTTAACTATGAAAATGTAATGCGTTTTTTAGAATATAATAGGCGGATTTATACTTTTGCATTTCAACTGCGATAGTGAAGTCCCGGCCGTAGGCACGGGTTGCACTAGTTATAATATATTCTTTATACTCATAGTAGTACGAATAATTTCTTAGCAACATAATTTGTTATAAAACCATTATGATATATGAATATTGGTGATGCCTATAAATGCCTATGATAATAATATGTCAAACTGCGGGTATCCTATCAACAGTCCTGACAAACCAGATCAAAACACCATGATTAATCTTAAAGTTATGATGATCCTGCTGTTTGATGAGTTTACCGGGCTGAACACGGATAATGATGGGTTGCAGCCAGGTGTTGGGTTAATGGTGGGTATGGAATGGTTTCGGAACCAAACATGACTGGAACCATCATGGAAGATGTTGACATGAAGAATGTTTAAAAGGTTGTTAGATCTACAGTTCCTGTAACCTTCTCCGCCTTTCCAACGCAATCACTGCAGACTGTTGTATAGATTAACAACTTTTACCGATGCTTCGCCTCCCCAACTTACAGACAATTAAGTTGTTAAGTACTAAGGGTTTACGACGAGACGGATAAACCGTTAACTAATGACGCGGTAAAACGTTTGACTATACAGTATTATACTCCAAGGGCGAGCCAAGAGGGGAACCCGGAGGCTACAGCATTAAAATATTAAGACATTACAAATTCAAAAGAAACTAACTTAATTTGAGTTTCAATAAGCGAAATAAAGGATTTCTATTGCACTGTCAGTTACTTCCAAAACAACTGTCTGCAAGTTAGACGAAACTTAATATAACTACTAAAACTTGTACAGGAGTGATCCAAGGTTGTTCGCTGACGGTGCCACCATTAAATACAGCCTCCGTATGAACTCCGGACAAACACCCAAGGTAAGCACAAATTATGTTAGTTTTGCTGTTGCACTAGATAACAGTTCACTACAGACTGCTTCTAGTTCACCAATCCCCGTTTATGATTTTTCTGTAAATAATAATGTCAGTTTTTGCTCTTATATCGTGATTGGGTAGATCATAGTTAAATACATAACTTGATAAGCTTGACGAATGAGAGTCTCCCAAGTTTTGAACTTAGTCTACAAGATATTATATCGTTCAACTGTATGCTAGGTTTAGTTGGATTTACAAGTTCAAGACCTGGATATTGGATAAATACCAGCTGTCAAAATATCTTCAACTCCTCGCCGAGGTTAAAGAGAAGTTACTCCAGTAACACCCACTATCAGAGTTTCGACTCGTTATTTCATTTTTAAAAGTTTAAAGAGGGAGCAGTCACAGATTTAACCAGACGCTCCCTAAAAATGTCCACGTCGATGAAAATTGGGGAGCTGCACTTTGTTCAGTTGACATGGGTCACATGTCCAAACAAAAATTTCTCTCCACGCGTCCTAACCGCACCTAATATTAAATATTTCACATACATATTTTATCAACCCATGCAATGTCACAAAAAATAAATTAATCAAACTTCTACCTACTCTTTGACATGGCCAACTGCCGCGTGTCACAAGCCGACAAATTGTATAACTACAGACTGAACGATTTAATATTTAAGGCTAATATCTAATTATTCCTTATTAGGCTTTTGGTTCTCAAATTCTTAAATACTTACTAGACTGCCACGCTTGCTTTGGTGTTTCATGTTTTAGTTCTTTTGGCTGCAGTGGATGGTTTGTTTGAGGAGGATCCTCTCGGAGAGATTCTTTTCAGTTTTTTTTTGCGAAATGTTTAGAATGTTTCGAGTTATAGAAGTCAGTGTTAATGACGCGTCATGATGATTAATCACACAGTGTGGTAGCATGTCATCGTAATACACTTGTTTTCTAAAATAAGATGAATTCTCCGTACACAAGATTCACCTCATACTATAACTATACTAATAGATTTATTCGTCACACTTTGATAAGAGCTCTCCCTCAGAACTTCAACGGAATTAATCCTGGATTATCATTATTACTTCGAGCTTACCCATCAAATCCTTTTCCTTAGAAATACAATTCCAGAAACGCTGTCTCATATGTCACTAGCTATTGATTTGATAGTTCCCCCTCGATATTGCCTTATTTATTCACTTCTACGCCGTACCACTTAAATATCCAGTCAGAGTCTTCCCATTTTGTTGTAGTATTCAGAGACTTTGTTGAGTGCTACCGGCTACGTGCCGCCAAGCTCATTAGACGTTATGCTTTTGTATTTGAATATATTTTACAAACTAGCATGGCATAAACAATGGATGTTCATACAGAGTGCTATAAACCAACCTCATTTTCTCAAGTTTGGCCCTTGAATTCTTTTAAACCATTCAGATCTGCTTACTGCAGATCAGCTACACTGGATAGTAGCTTTCATAGCTTCACACCATTCATCTTGTTAATTCAGCCAGATTTGTAATATTTTGTTCCCATTTTATCAGTCATTGTATCTGTGGTATCTGTGGATTAAACAACGAATTGGTGTAATAGGTTATTTAGCAAGCATACATTTTAATATGATGTGTTCATCAATCAGATATGAACCATCATTAATTGGTGCTCAAAAGTTAAATATCATGGTTTCAAAAACGCTTTTTTCAAACTTACAGTTACAAGGCATTTATCATTATTATATCAAACAGATTTAAGCTGCATTATGACGAGGTAATAAACTGAGAACGGTTAACTTCCCTGATCACTACTGTAACCTGTGCATTAATTAATTATAATTTGTAAGTGTAAATTGAAATAGTAAATTATGGTGCAAACTTCAAAGTAGATATACAAAATGTTCTACGCCCAAGCAGTGAGCTTAATGATTGTGGTTCAGTATATACTACTAATAATACTGTAACATTTGCCATTTAAGTTATAATGGACCGCAAGTTCTCATATTTTGATTGGCCAGTGGTGACTTACATTGAAATGCAGCATCATCGAATGGTTCTGCATTTCTGCCCATATTGCCAAACTTTGATAGCTGCGGTTTGATGTTTGTTCTGAGGTTCAATAGATAATCAATATATCGTCACTGTTTATTAGAAAGGTCCCATGTCGACATATTATTACATAATTTATATTATATATTATGATATATGACCGTCCCTGGAAGTCCCTGTCTCTCCGTCTTTAATCCGACGGGGTTGTTCTAGGGGCGGTGGTAACAGAGCTTCAAGACTCCAGGAGTCTGTTGTCGATATCTATGATTAATATGAATATGGTATATACCTTGGGAGTCTCTCTCCAGCAGTAGGAGTTGGAAACGCGTTGTGAAAGCCACCGAAAGGAAGGCTTACAGTCGACGCTGACAAATCAGAAGAAGAAGATATTATGATATGTTAATGTTATGTTATGATATGTTATAATATAAACCTTAGGGGGCGTCGTTTGCTGACAGTGCTCTATCGGCTAGCGGAGTTCTTTTCGAAAACCACCAAATTTCGTACCCCAAATTAAATCATGGTATTTGGGGATTTTTTCATCTCCTTATTTTACAAATTTTGTCACCTACAAATAGAAAGGGCTTATGTATGTTTTGAGATAATGCATAAAAACCTATTTATGGAAATTAACTTTAGGATAGGCATTTGAATTTGATTTCTATGTATCCTAAATGGAAAGAATGACTGGCCTACACTCTGAAAATGTTCCTGAAGCTTTTAAATTGATTGGGGTAATTGATTTAATTTTGACATAGGCCCATTTAAAACAACATTCGATACATAGGCCCCTCTTAATTAATTGAAACATCTTACATGTGAGAATCGGTACAGAGCGTATGTGTACATACTACATAGGTCCTTTTAACTTTTAAAGTTATTTCTTTAAACATCAATATCACATTCCAACAATTTGTTAGGGCATATGTTGACTTAGGCCCTTTCTACTTTTCAAAAACATCACATTCCAACAATTTGCCAGGGCATATGTTGACTTAGGCCCTTTCTACTTTTCAAAAACATCATCAAAAACATCCCATTCCAACAATTTGTTAGGGCATATGTCGACATGAGCCCTTTTATTTTATCAATATCAGTAGCAGTTCAGTTTATAGAAAAAGGACTATGTTAATATAGGTCCTTTTAACAAATTGAAGATATTCAATTTTCACCCAATTGACTTTATATTTGGGGATATGATAGGTATGGTTCCACGGATTATCGTGCTGGTATAGTTTTTTAAAAGGGCCTATGTCAACATAAGCCCTTTCTATTTGTAGGTGACGAAAAATGAAACTCAATATTTGAGAAAAATATGTACAGAGATCTTTTCTGATCAGCTATTTATCAGCTACATGATAAGGCCTTAAATATAATATGGAGTAATGCAGTGTTTCTAGTGTATCCAATTATACAAGTAGCTCATAGCTGAAGGATCTGAGATATTATATCTGGGCCAGAGACTTGGAAATATAAAGTTTTTTTCCCCGATTTTTAAAATTTTTTGTTTGTTTTTAATATATAAAGCTTTTTGATGATCAAGGTTATTTTAAAGCTTTTCTTATAATTACCGTGGTCATTATAGGCTGGTTCGATCTGCACTACCTTTAGGCGGCGTTTTATAAATTTGCAAACTGTGCCATCTCAACTTGTCACAAGGACTCCATAATTAATCCCTGTGCAGGACATAACGAGATGTGTTTACTGATTGCGAAACTAGAGCGCGATTAAATCTGTTGCGTCTGAGGATTGATATGATGAGATAGTAGAATATATTTATATATAATATGCACATTGCACAATGACATAACTGTACAAAGAGTTAGTTGATTTACCGATCTAAGAGGGGTGAAGGAGAGGACACACCTGCTCTTTATCTTGCTGCCATTGGTTTAGATTTAATGTCCTCTCTCCACCTTGGATAGTTGTTAAGGTGTTCAAACTTTCTAAGTGAGTAGTATAGCGGGTGGTCCCCACTGAAAGTCATTTATGGAGTAAATTTTAAAGGCTTTGCCGAGCTTGCCTCTTATCTTTCTTTTGAAGTTTTGATCCTGATCGCACATCAACCAGATCCTTTTTGCGGACTGATCATATTTCATTCTTTCACAATTCCAAACATTTTAGGGAACTTTGTCGTCTGATTATTACGCTGATGTAAGAATCAGTCGTTCACTTGACGTTCACCAGTCGTCACAATCAATTTATAGTCATAGTCAGAGAAGCACTGTGCATTTAACGTATTTAACGCATTTAGCGCATTTAGCACAATTCTAAAGATTAACAGTTCATTTAAAGCAAAAAGTAATTCATACTTACAACTTTAGAACTTAGTGATATTCGACGAATAAAACTGTCACCTGACTACTCCTCCCATCGCTGGTTTATCAACTGTACAAAGAGTTAGTTGATTTACCGATCTAAGAGGGGTGAAGGAGAAGACACACCTGCTCTTTATCTTGCTGCCATTGGTTTAGATTTAATGTCCTCTCTCCACCTTGGATAGTTGTTAAGGTGTTCAAACTTTCTAAGTGAGTAGTATAGCGGGTGGTCCCCACTGAAAGTCATTTATGGAGTAAATTTTAAAGGCTTTGCCGAGCTTGCCTCTTATCTTTCTTTTGAAGTTTTGATCCTGATCGCACATCAACCAGATCCTTTTTGCGGACTGATCATATTTCATTCTTTCACAATTCCAAACATTTTAGGGAACTTTGTCGTCTGATTATTACGCTGATGTAAGAATCAGTCGTTCACTTGACGTTCACCAGTCGTCACAATCAATTTATAGTCATAGTCAGAGAAGCACTGTGCATTTAACGTATTTAACGCATTTAGCGCATTTAGCACAATTCTAAAGATTAACAGTTCATTTAAAGCAAAAAGTAATTCATACTTACAACTTTAGAACTTAGTGATATTCGACGAATAAAACTGTCACCTGACTACTCCTCCCATCGCTGGTTTA